TCGCCGTTCTGGAGCTTTACGAGGGGAAAGGTAGCCTAGAAGAGTCCATAAGCTTGGCTTCCGAGTTAGGGCAGATGCAGCAACTTTTAAGGTTGGTGAAGGTAACCTTCCCAGGTTGTTGATCGTCGCTGCGCCGATGCTGTCGATGACACGAACCGACAGCTCAACGGCAAATATTATGAGCATTAGAGAAGGCATGACGGGCAGTCTTAGCTCAGTTTGGCGGAGCGTCGTGATGTCGGACTATTCGTGCATGTCGTAACAGTTGGGTTCTGTGGGTTGGGTCAGGAGCTGTCAGTCAGATGGCACAATCCTGAAAATCGTGTGCTATGTCATCGCCCCGCGAATTGCATGCGCCACTTCTGCCGGGCGGTCAGAGGTCCTGTAACTGGAGTGGGCAGCCGATAAGACCTTGGCCAGAATACACCCCCACCTTGCTCACAGCAGCATACATATCATTCCGACAATGGGCCATCACGTTGTCGTATGCGTGCATCAAGATCCGATATGCCTTTTCTGAAATGTCTCGCGCTCTGGAAAAGGAGGTTGTTGCATTTTTGAAGTCCGGCGATCACACGGCGGTGTATGAGGACATCTCACGAGCTCTTGCTCCACCAGATGACCCTAGTAACGACCCGGCGGGCTTGCTCGAAATCGAGATTCTAGGACGAAGTCACCCTACGCCGCCTGGTCAAAATCTGCTTCAAGACAAGAACGCCATCGGTATACCAAAATTACGTCTAGTACAAGCCTTTCTTGTAGCTCATCAAATCGCCAGAGCCCACACAAACACAACTGAACAAGCGGAAAATGACATCCTCTCGGCCACGGCGGTGATGCTTCTGATGGATGCAGAGAACCTCACAGCTGCAAATACAAGGAAACGCATCCTGTTGTCTCGTATCAAAAGGTTAGAAAACGGTAGAATCTCCAGTCTCCAACACCGAGACTGTCGGATATTACTCTACCAAGAAAGCTGGTTCGTCGACAGTCTTTTGACGAGCCGTCTCCATCGCCACACCAAATCACCAACGCTATGGAGCCATCGCCGATGGTTGGTCGAGCAACATCGGAACTTTGGTCATGCGGTCGATATCCGAGCCGGCTTCGACATAGTCAAGACCGCGGGCGAGTGGCATCCCCGGAACTATTATGCATGGTGTCACGCACGGTGGCTCCTCAAGATATCCAGACACGTTTTGACCAAGGAAGATATCCTATCCCTGGAGAACAGTATTGAAGTCTGGAGCCTCGCTCATCACGATGACATATCTGGCTGGTCAATGCTCGCTCACATCCAAGAAATGAGAGGCGATAACGCTGCGAGACTCAATGTCTTTCGAAACCTGCTCGATACAGCTGAGGGCTATCGATGGACGAATGAGTCGGTGTGGTGGTACCTGCGCACTACAGCTGCGACATTGGATCTCCAGATCGAGGATCTGGACCATTTCAAAACGACACATCATAAGCTTTTGAATGAGCCCGACAACAATGGAGATCACGCTTCGACAAGCCACCGCGTGTTAGAGACCGCATGGCAATGGTACAACCAGAATCGAGGCAAAGCGAGCAGCGGGATTATTGGTGGCTGAAACTCGTCCTCTTCAACGCAGATTGCGAACAACACTCACCGCTGGCACAACATATCAGTACTCATTCTCACCCCAGCTTGGTATCTCATTTTACCGAGTTCAGTGCTGAGGTTCCTTTGGCCGGATTCGGAAGGTCGGGTTCGATGGCCTTGAGAAAGAACAAGTTTGGACAATCAGAGAGGCTAGACGAAGCAGTAGCGAGGCTCTGAGCACGAAGGCAGAGCTCATTTGGGAATACCAAATTCCAAGCCAGTCTGATTGGCGCATTCCCCCCGACGAAGGGGCTCCTTGGCTGAAGTCATGATTTGGCAGATGTGACGGACGTGAGGCTGAAACTCTGGTATTATTGCTGGGCTACCTGTAGCCAGGGGTGTTCCCCCGCCACTGACGGTTCGAGAACTAACGGCCTTCATCTCAATCTCCCAGAGATCCGCCAAGGCCGCACGGCCGGCGGATGCTATCTTGTTAGTGGTCATGGGGATAGAGGGAGACACAGCCCAAGGAGATCGGGATCTGCCAATGGTGGAATGCGGGTTATGGCCAGCCAGCGGTGGAGAAATTCTGATTTCCATCGTCAAGTGGATGGACAACACGGATTGCTGCTTTCGGACGCCCTTGACAGGTGGCATGACAACTTTCGCATTTTCTGTGATGATGGGCTTGCGGCACCACGGGGGAACAGGGCTGGAGCTACGATATTAGCGCGCCGCTGCCGATGTCTCACTCAGGCTGGCATTGCTGGAATGCTGGCCACGAGTACAGGAGTAAATCAGGGGCGGTAATTGCGACTCTCTGTAGTCAGCCATGCGCTTCGTGAGCAAGCGTGGGAACCTGTTGATAGCGCCAGGACCAAAAACCTTCGCAGGCCCTGGCACGGCTCGCACGGCAGGCAGTGAGAGATGAGAGTTGCTCAATCCTTGCAAACCCCGACTGGAAGATATTCATGGCATGGCATCGACGCGGCTCAACAGGAGAGGAATTGTTACACTAAGAAAGCCGATGCTCCTTGAGCGAAGGGCAATCTGATGCAAAGGAATGGTTCGCGACCACGGCGAGCATGATGATTCAGCCAAGGTGCAAAGGTACGATAGCAAGAACCTCTGAGGCTTGCTAGGGCCTGCCTCTATCTGCTGCAAGACATGGTCTGTTCACAGGTCATCACATCCGTGCCACCTTTGGGGGATTTGCACATTGAGGTCCCTACGCGATAAGTAAAGAGATGATCGGTTTGCTGATTATGATGAACGGTCCATCACCTGGTTTGGCAAGATTGTCGAGGACTGGTCCCAAGGACAAGTCCGAGAAGGGCCGGTTGCATTGAGCACCTGGTTGGTTCAACTGGCCAACCAGCCAACAGCCCCTTGCGTATTAGCGCTGATAGTGCAGTGCAGTGCCTGACGCCGCTCTCCTTTTAGTGACGAACGGCGGAGGCGCCATTTCTCGTATCTGACCAGGTTCTCTGTTGTGTTGTGCAGGGCTCGTGGGGTGGCGCTGCGTTTTGTCCAGAAGCTCAAGCCACCACGCCGTGTCACTCAAGCCGGTCTCAAGTCTAAGACTGAGCTTCCTCTGCTTTGCTCTTCATCAGCAGGCCAGCCCGAAATGTTGAGCAACAGCCTGTCTTGTAGCTCCCGTCTCTTCTCTGGCGTCTCTGTCCAGATTTCTGCTCATCCGACAGGGAGCTGGGGTTGGCAAACGGCTAGGCCGTCCGAATCGGGACTCGCGCAGGTACACGACGCGACTTTAATCCCCAACAGGGTCTGCCCCATCTGACCACCAGAATCAGAGCTTCAGACGACGACAGGGCCATAGGGATCCAAGATCCCGCCATGTACCGACCTTGTCTGCCCAGATCAACGCGCCGCACGGCTGCAGCTAATCCGACGGTGGTTGGACGAGAGACGCCCGACGCTGCTCCTCCGCTCCAGGGCACCCCTGATCGAACCGCACAGTCGCCCGCTCGACCCGTCGTTGCCCCAGGGCCAAGTCGAACTCCCCAAGCTCTCTAGCTCTTTGAGGACCTCAGATGGTCCAGAAGTGTGTCCCCTTTCCTCGCCGATCCTCTGAGGATGGCCACTCTAGGGTCAAGTGTGGGGGTATCCCTGGCGCGAAAATCGGCGCGTGAGGTACATGCGAGCATGGTGTCCCCGCCCAAGGTGCCAGAGCTGCGCGCATTGGAGCCAATCCGCCCCGGCTCCTGCCCTTTTGCACCGCGGAGCCGACCTCTCGTCTCTTGTCGTCTCACGCCTCTCGCCTCTCGCTTTGTCTGCCTGCCTTCCCCTTCACCACCGGCCTCCCCTCCGACCTCCTCCTCTACCTCCCTTCTCCCCCACCCCAAGAGGATCCAACCTCCTCGTTCCTTTGGTCCCTTACTTCGGTCTCATCCTTCCGGTCCTCGACCCGTCTCTTTCATCCATCTCTTTGCTGGGCTGTGGGTGTCTCGTCCTTAGACTGTCGAACAGAAGCATTCGGGTTCTCTTCTCCATTGTGTTTGCATACCAGTACTCTGCATCTCCGTCTCCAGCCTGCCTCGCCGCTCGCCTCGCTTCGGGTCCCGCCATTTGTGTCTCGAACCCATTCGAGCCTCGTTGCTGGTGGCGTCCCTTGTCTCAGCCCGCAACTGGAACCTGTGTCCGCCATCGTTACAGCCATACGAGAAGAGCATTTCAACCGCTTATTGGATCCTGCGTCGCACATTTACGCACTCGACATTTCGCTACATTCCACCTTGTATATCGGATCCCTGGAGCACCTCACTCGTCCCGACCGTGTTTACTCTCTTGTCGTCTCTTTTTCTTCGATCTCTGTCCCTGTCCCTGTCCCTGTACAGTGCCTTGACATTTCCCTGCTTCTGCATTTCGGATGCCCGAGCTCTCCTTTTGAAGGCTCCAGTTCAATGCTTCCACTATCGTAATATCTAATTACCGTCGACAAATACTTCCGACCCTGAGTCTGGCACTCTCGACCGCCTCTCTACGTTTTCTCAAGACGCCGACCAGCCCCGAGCAGGTTGATTGCCCCGCCAGCTGGGCAAACTAATCATTTTCCGCGTTTCCTATCTTAGCATACCCGACCACAGTTCCAACCAGGTTCCTTCAGCTTCAATTGCAGGAACCCGCAACTCCTTTCGCCAGACACCTTGCTCGTCATGCGTTCCGCCCTGGTCCTGCTCCATCTGTCGCTATGGATCACGGTGTCGCATGCCTTCTTCCCCTGGTTTCCGAACTACCGCTGCGATGAAGACGATGATTGCAAGGCAGAAAAGAGGGCACAACTAGATGGTACGGCCCAAGACGTCGTCAATGCCATTCGGGCCTCTGGGGCTCTCAAGCCTTCGACCTTTCCCGTCGGCCAACGGGTATGTGTGAACCACCCACTGAGTTGTCATGAACTATCGTTAACGCCCTGCAGCGAGGCTTCGAGTCCGAACCAGTAGCCAAGACTGTTTCCAGGCTGCTTCGCAAGTACTCCAAGTACCAGCCCACGCCTCTGGCGGACGAGTCGAACGCATTGGCCAAGAGACAAAATGTGTACCGCGTCATCGAGCCGGAAAAGACCGATCAGAAATACGGTGCCGGTATCTGGCAGGATGGCTCAGACTTTTCCTACTTTGTTCAGGCCAAGCTTGGATCAGAGGGCAAGGAGCTGTACATGCTTGTCGACACCGGTGCGGGTACATCTTGGGTTATGGGCTCTGACTGTGCTTCGCCGGCTTGCGGCCTTCACAACTCGTTTGGTCCTGACGACTCGAAGACATTCGAGCGCGTCGACGAGCACTATTCAGTCAAATACGGATCAGGTTCCGTCAAGGGCTCCAAGGTCACGGATTCGATTAACGTTGCGGGCATGAACCTGAAGTTCAAGTTTGGCGTTGCTAACGAGACGTCTGATGATTTCAACCACTTTCCCTTCGACGGTATCCTCGGCTTGTCTCTCTCCGGTGGCGAATCAGACAACTTTATGAACATCGTTGCAGATTCCAAGACGCTCGAGAAGAACATATTTTGCGTCTTCATCAACAGGGCAGCCGATGGACCCAACACCGGAGAGCTAAGCTTCGGCGCTTGCAACAACGACAAATATATCGGCGACTTCACGTACACTGATGTGGGCTCCAGCAATGGGGACTGGGCCGTTCCCATGGACGGTCTCACGTATGACGGCAAGAAGGCCGGTGTCAAGGGCAAGCTCGCCTATATTGACACGGGCACTTCGTACGTGTTTGGACCCGAAAGCGACGTCAAGGCTTTCCACGAGAACATTCCCGGGTCATCCTCTTCCGATGGCACCACCTGGACCGTCCCCTGTGACAGCAACGAAGAGGTGACGTACATCTTCTCCGGTGTCAGCTACACAATCTCTGCCAAGGACTGGAGATCCAAGCCCAAGGACGGCGTCTGCACGAGCAACATTTATGGTCATGAGGTCGTCCCGAATTCCTGGCTCCTCGGTGATCTCTTCTTGAAGAATGTGTATGCTGTGTTTGACGCCGACGAAAAGCGGATCGGTAGGTTTCATCTTCATCCCGCCTCTTGGGAACACTCTTGACTAACTTCCACAGGCTTTGCCAACAGGGCTCCTGTTCCCGGTGCTGAGAGTGAAAACAGCAATGCCGACGAGACGACCAAGCAGGCGTCGCCCACGGCGAAGACGACGACTTCAGCGCAAGCCTCGACGGCGAACCCTAGTCCTCGTCCGACGTTGAGCGAGCAACAGGGTCAGGATAGCCCAAGCGCCGAACCGGCCGTGCCTGACAGCCAACCGACAACTGTTTCCACTGGCGTCACCCAACCTGAGCCGTCCATCCCGACGGGCCAATCGTTGGAGGGACAATCCGACCAGCAAACGACGGGCACGAGCGGGGCTGACGCGGCCCAGACGAACGAGCCATCATCCGGTGCACAGCTACGCTCGCACGGCGTGGTTTCAGCGGTGTTTGCCATGGCTGCTATGGCGGCGATCTATTAGCTGTGATGTATGATCATCTTGATGAGCTTGACTGGTTTCCACGAGACGATAAGTCTTGCGGTTCATCGTCATCAGAACAGAGCTGGCTTTCAGTAACGGACGCAAGGATCTGGACGTATATGATACCCTAGGGGAGGAAAGATGATTGCCTTATGCTGATGAGAGGATCAGCGCCAGGTGGCAGAACTGGCAAGCCCAGGATGGGCCCTTTTTGCATTTCTTGCCTGTACTACCTTGTAATTGAGCACAAAAGCGTTGTTTTCACCATACCCTTATGTTCCGATCGTTGAGATGTATGATACTATGGTGTGATGGCGGGGCAGCCTCCCATTTGCGACAGGCCTGACACTGACAGCCTGCGAAGTCGCCGCTACGTCTAAAGAGGGGAACCCGCGCCGTCCGACCAGGTCCCGAGATCGAAGTTCGTACTTGGTGTGACGAGACGGGCCGCCGGGTGTCCCCTCGGGCTGGCCGGGAAGAACCCAGCGCGCAGCGCGTCTCCTACCGAGACGAGTGACACTGCGATACAGTAGTACATATAATCCGTTAGTTGAATGTGTGTGCATCTCTATTTCTCCAGCCCCAACCCAAGCAACCTTGATGGGGCCGTCGGGCGACGACCCTTATCGCGCAAGGGCCCGCCGGCGCCGCCTCGCACGACTGTTCTGTACGGTTCGGCAATCTGCCACCCTCTATGGACCCCTTTCAAGAAAACCCCCTTCCCACCCTCTTCTTCCCCACCCCCGCGACCCCCCTCGAGCTTCCTTCATCCCCCACCAAGCGGTCCCTGCAGCAGGCGTCAGTCACTACACTAAATCCATATAACCAAACGGCGAGCACGTTGATGATGGTGGACTTCTTCTTTCGGCAATGCATCCCGCACTCTCTTATTGGTTCAGACTGAATGGCCAACGCTCATTGACTCGATAAAGTCAACCAGTCAACAAAACCCCCGCCGGCCTGTGGTATCTGGCACGCTGGTCGCCCGCAGGCTCGGCCGAGACTTGCCTTGGGTGTGGACGGCGGCGGACGCCCTGGGCGAGTTATATAGGTTTCTTGAGATCGCCTGAGAGGGACTTGGTCTGTAGAAACGTCACGGCATCTGTTGAGAATCATCATGCTTGATATATCTGGTATGGTCTCCATCTTCCCTTTCCTGACCATCTTGATCCGAGAGACTGATGATGGTGACAGTCACCGAACCTTTTCCCCTTACCATCCCAGAATGGACGACTGCGCAAAGAGCAAGTGGCGGCCTTGAACGGTTATTAGCCCTCCGCGCCTCAGAGGAGAGCCGCAACTCCAATGCTTGGATCTCGCTCGCAACGCCCGCTCAGATCGAAACCCAATGGCGCCATCTCGAGGATTTTAGTGCCACTGCTGGCCCGGCCTCGCTCCCCCTCTTCGGCGTTCCCTTTGCTGCTAAAGACAACATTGACGTTGCCGGCTTCCCTACCACCGCCGCCTGTCCCAGTTTCGCCAAGGGGCCCCTCGAGCAAGATTCGACCGTTGTTGCCAACCTCAAGGCAGCCGGTGCTATTGTTCTTGGCAAGACGAACCTCGACCAGTTTGCCACAGGTCTGGTCGGCACAAGGTCACCTTACGGAGCTGTGAGGAACTCTTTCGACCTCGAGCGGGTCAGCGGCGGCTCTAGTTCTGGCAGCGCCGTTGTCGTTGCCAGGGGCATAGTTCCCTTCAGTCTTGGCACCGACACGGCCGGCAGCGGTCGCGTCCCCGCAGGCCTCAACAATCTCATAGGTTTGAAGCCTACAAGGGGTGCCATCAGCACAGCAGGCGTTGTACCGGCGTGTCGCAGCCTCGATTGCGTCTCTATTTTTGCCCTGACGACCGAAGATGCCGAAACGGCCCTTGCCGCCGCCGAGGGCTACGACCTCGCCGACTCGTTCTCCCGCAAGCGACCAGAGATCTCCGCCGCCAGCGGCCGCCGCATGGCCATTTGCAGCGATCCGCAGTGGTATGGCCAGGAGGAACAAGAGGCTGCCTACGTCAGGGCGATCGCCAAGGCCGAGAGCCTCGGGTGGACTCTTGTGCCGCGCGACTTCTCGCAGCTGTTTGAGCTTGCGAACCTACTATACGAGGGTCCCTGGGTCGGTGAGCGGTACGCTGCGATCAAGGACTTTATCGAGGCGCATGAGGAGGATATGGACCCCACGGTGCGGACCATTGTCCTCAAGGCCCGCGGGTTCAATGCGGCCGACCTTTTCGCGGCCGAGTACCGTCGTCAGGACCTCACGAGGGATATTGAAAGGGCTTTTGGCGAGTTCGACGCCATACTCGTGCCAACGGCACCGACGTTTCCTACGATCGAGGACCTGGAGAGAGAGCCAATCAAAGAAAACGCCATCCTGGGAACATATACCAACTTTGTCAATTTTCTGGACTGGTCAGCGCTGTCAGTACCCGCCGGCTTCAGAGCGGACGGACTGCCATTTGGCATCACGCTCATCTCGACCATGTGGCAGGAGCCGAAGCTGATGGCCTTGGCAAGGGAGTGGCTTTCCACGGCGCCGAGGCCGCTGGGAGCTACCAAGGCAGAGATTCTAGAGCCAGTCAAAGATGTCATCAACGAGACCACCATTGCCGTCGTCGTTGTTGGCGCTCATCTCACGGGGTTTCCCCTGAACAAAGACCTCACCTGCCGGGGCGCCGTGTTCGACAGAGCCACCAAGACGTCCTCCAACTATCAGCTCTTCTCTCTCGATACCGGCAGCCCCATCAAGAAACCTGGGTTGAAACGCGTCCGTGAGGGTGGAAGCTCCATAGAAGTCGAGGTGTGGAATCTGCCCCGGTCTGAGTTGGCGTCATTTGTCAAGACCATCGCGACGCCTCTCGGCATTGGATCCGTCGAGCTCGAGGACGGCAATTGGGCACATAGCTTCATTTGTGAGCCGTATGGCCTCGAGGGCGCCATCGACATCACATCTTTTGGAGGCTGGCGTGGTTTCATGGCGTCGCAAAAGCCACAGACAGCTGAATCGAAGAGGCTCGCCCGCGAGATCAAGACGGTGCTCATCGCCAACCGTGGCGAGATAGCTGTGCGCATTATCAAGACGCTGCGCAAGCTGGGTATCAAAGCCGTAACCATACATTCCCGCGCCGATGCCAAAGCGCACCACGTCCGTGATGCCGACTTGTCCTTGGCTCTCGAGGGAAACAGCGTCTCAGAGACCTATCTTGATGGGCAGCAGATCCTCAAACTCGCGAAAGAGTCTGGCGCAGAGGCCATCATTCCGGGCTACGGCTTCCTCGCTGAGAATGCCGACTTTGCCTCACAAGTCGAGGATGCGGGCCTTGTCTGGATCGGCCCTACGCCCGACCAGATGCGCAAGCTGGGTCTGAAGCACCTTGCGCGCGAGGTCGCCATCTCGGCTGGCGTTCCTGTCGTTCCCGGGAGCAAATCTCTCCTCGAGAGCGTCGACCAGGCCCTCGCCGAAGCTGAGCGCATCAAATACCCCGTAATGCTCAAGAGCACGGCCGGCGGTGGCGGCATTGGGCTTAGTCGGTGCAATGACGCAAAGAGCCTGACTGAGGCGTATCACAGCGTGCAAAGACTGGCCGAGGCGAACTTTGGCGACGCTGGCATGTTTGTTGAGCATTTCATCGAGAATGCCAGGCACATAGAGGTTCAGATGCTGGGCGACGGCGAGGGCAACTTCACGACCGCCGGCGAAAGGGATTGTTCGCTGCAGCGAAGAAACCAGAAGGTCGTCGAGGAAAGCCCCGCCGTCTTTGTGCCGCTGGTTGTCCGGGACCGGATGAGAGAAGCAGCCAAGCGCCTTGCCAAAGCGGTGAAGTACCGCAACGTCGGCACGATCGAATATATTTACGATGTTGACACGGAAGAGTTCTACTTCCTTGAGGTCAATACTCGACTGCAAGTTGAGCACCCCGTGACCGAGTCGGTCACCGGATTGGACCTCGTTGAAGCTATGGTCAAGATTGCTTCTGGAAACAGCCATGATCTTTTTCTCAATCGCGAGCAAGGATTTGTTGTCAATGGAAACTCTATCGAGGTGCGCGTCTACGCCGAGAGCCCTCTGCAGAACTTCCGTCCCTCTCCTGGGCGCCTTCTCGATGTAGTCCTTCCGAAGAATGTGCGAGTCGACACATGGGTCGAGGCTGGCATGGACGTTTCCTCTTCCTACGACCCCATGATTGCCAAGATCATCGTCGTTGCTGATGATCGAGCATCGGCGCTTGAGAAGATGGCACTCGCGCTGGCTGAGACGACCATTACAGGCGTTGAGACGAACCTCGGATACCTCCGCCAAATCATCGGATCTGAACTTTTCCGGTCGGGAGACTTCACCACGTCGTCTTTGAACAACTTCAAGGTTGAGGCTTCAGTTATTGAGGTTGTTGAAGCAGGCTCGCAGACGGCCGTCCAGGATTTCCCAGGCCGCAAGAAGTTCTGGCATATTGGCGTACCCCCTTCCGGCCCCTTTGACGATTACTCTTTCAGGCTGGCCAACCGCATCGTGGGCAATGATAAGCGCGCCGCGGGCCTGGAAATGACGGTTCAGGGACCATCGCTCCTCTTTCATTCCGATGCGATCGTTGCCATAACTGGTGCCGAGGTCGAGGTGAAGATTGATGGGGAAGTTGCGAAGACGAACATCGCTCTTTCTGTCCGACGCGGCCAGACGTTGGCTATCGGCAGAGCGATCAACGGATACCGTATGTACCTAGCCATCCGAGGCGGCGTTGATGTACCCGAAGTCTTTGGAAGCCGATCTACCTTTGCCTTGGGCCAACTTGGTGGGCACAATGGCCGTAACCTCCGCTCGGGCGATCTTCTTCCTCTCGGTCAAGCTACAGCGACTGATGCACTGGTCTCGGTGGTTCCAGCCCCTCAGCCCCCTATTCCTGTTCAACCGGATGCCGTCTGGAAGGTGGCGGTCGTCCCTGGCCCTCATGGTGCCCCTGATTTCTTCGCTGCTGAGGGACTCGACACCCTCTTCGAGGAGGAATGGTCTGTTCACTATAATAGCAATCGATTTGGCATCCGCCTGACGGGTCCCAAGCCTCAGTGGGCGCGACGCACAGGTGGCGGCGCTGGTCTTCACCCTTCGAACATACACGACACGCCGTACTCGGTGGGCAGTGTCAGCTTCACTGGTGACGAAGCAGTCATCCTGACATGCGACGGTCCCAGCCTCGGAGGATTCGTCGTCTTCTGCGTTATTGCTTCTTCGGAGATGTGGAAGCTCGGCCAAATGCGACCAGGTGACCGCGTCAGGTTCCAGGCAATCAGCGCCGAAGAAGCTCTCACACGAGATGCCGCTCTTGAGCAGGCGATTACTGAGCTCGCGTCTGTTCCACAGTATGAGATTCCTGCTCTCAATGGCCACGGTGCTCCACACCAAAACCTGAAGCCTCTGCTCGGCGACATTGGAAGCGGTGGTTGTCAGGTTCTGTGCCGACAGGCAGGTGATAGAGCGATGCTGCTCGAGTTTGGCGAAGATGACTTCTCGCTTCGCACAAGTTTCCTCATTTACTCTTTCATTGATCGGCACAAACAGCAGTCCATTCCTGGCGTGGAAGAACTCACGCCCGGTGTTCGCACCCTCCACGTCCAGTACGCAGCAGGCATCTCGCCCCAGACGATGCTCGACGCGCTTCGCATCCACGAGAACGCGTCTACTCCGTCTTCTCTTCCATCACGATCATTCCGCCTTCCCCTCGTCTTTGACGACTCCGTGTCTCAGGCCGCCATCGCTCGCTACGCTGCCACCATCCGCGACAAGGCTCCTTGGCTGCCGAGCAATGTCGATTTTCTGCAGCAGCTAAACGCCCTTCCCTCGCGCGACGCCGTCTCTGACATTCTTATCGACGCCTCCTTTCTCGTTCTTGGCCTCGGCGACGTCTTCCTTGGCTCCCCTTGCACAGTGCCTCTTGACCCGCGCCACCGCCTCACGGGCACAAAATACAACCCTTCGCGCTCCTTCACGCCGTGCGGCGCCGTAGGCTTCGGCGGCAACTACATGTGCATATACGGCATGGATTCGCCGGGCGGATACCAGCTCGTCGGTCGCACGATCCCCATCTGGGACGAGGTTCTCGCCACCAGCACGAGGAGCAACGGGGGCGCCGCCAAGAAGCCGTGGATGTTCCGCCTGTTCGACCGCATCTCCTTCTACCCCATTTCCGAAGCAGAACTCGACGCCGCCGTACGCGAGGGCAGAGCCAGCACGCTCGTGCACGCCGAACCCGGCACCATTGAGCTCGAGACGTATGAGGCGTGGCTTGCAGCGAACAAGACGGAGCTCGACGCCGTCGTGGCCGCGCGCGAGGCCGCTTTCCACAACGCGCCCTTCCTCGAGGAACTCCTGCGCCCCTACGAGGCTCCCGAGGGGGAGAAACGCGCACTCGGGGGAGAGGACGTCGACGGCGAGCGCGTGCGTGCGCAGATGCCGGGCAAGTGTTGGCGGTGCGTCGTCAAGGAGGGGGACGAGGTCGAGGTCGGGGATGCGCTTGTCTGGATCGAGTCCAACAAGATGGAGATTAAGATTTCCAGCCCCGTCAAGGGACGGGTCACGCGGGTGTTTGTGGAGGAGGGCGAGATTGTCGGGCCGCACGATGATTTACTCGTCATCTCGGCTGTCTGAGCGTGCGTGTCATGTGGTGTGCCATTTCGAGCGTGACGGCGCTTTAAGATTGTTTTTGCCTTTGACGATAGTTATGATGAACGACTTGAGGCTCAGCTATGAACAACACTTCACTTGGCTCTTGATGATTCAGTAGTGGTGACTCGGTACATGCCTATCAAGGTGCTCTGCATACTTGCCAGATCAGAGGGGCCAGATGTCGCATGTAGAGACTGAACAGTATTGCTGGTGGCCTTGATACATCCATCCTGCGTGACTGGCAATGATAGTTTGATATTGTGTCAGATTCCAACTAGAACGCTCATATGTGACTAAACTTTTCAGATCTCGCGACCTTCCCGAACGCAAATGATTCACAGACAAGACACGCAATCCGACACCCCCGCTTCAAAAAGCATCTCATAAAAGCACACGTAAAGTTTTACAGATTACAGTCGCCGTACTGAGATTGTTCACTGCCTCGACCGCAAATGGCGGCTCCTTCGAGGACGGGTGACATACTTTCACATGTGCATCCTTCGTCTCAAGCTCGTAAGCTTCATCCGTACTGACAGCTCTTTCGTCGTGGCGGTACCACCGTTTCTTCTTTGCCCGAGGCCTGTTTGAGCGGTTGGGAGATTCATTCAGGCAGCGCACATCCAGCTCGCCAGAAGACCAAGATGCCCACGAGAACCAGAACGGCACAAGTGACGCCGAGTGACATCTTGTGCGCCGTCGAAACGCCGCGTGGGGGCTCTGTGACGATTCTGGAGGGCTAGTGTTGAGCGGCGTGGGCCTCGAGAACTCAAACTTGTCAGCCTAGGAGAGATCGAGGCCCGGAGTGAAGAAGACGATTGACAAGGCCGACTCAATGTATGAGTCCTGAGTGAAGCCCGTCATAGTCGTGACTTCGTTTCCTTAGAGTGAGGTTCGGTGTCCCTGACAACACACCCGGCTTCTCATGGTCCCTCGACGTCATCGCGACTTTCCAAATAAAACCACGTGAACAATATCGCAACACCTTTGTCTGGTCAATGACAGGCTCGAACTCGCACCCACGGAAAGGAACATCTACTCTGGATAGTGTATTCTTGGCGCCGAGCCTGATTTGAAGGTGCTGCCTGGGGCGGGTTTCCAGTATGCATTGGCATACTGTCTGGAGTGCGCCACGTATCTTGTTCTTCTGGAGAACTGCCCTCTATGGGCGGCTGGTGGAGGAGGTAACAGGCCTGGACCTCAACGGAATGAGGCACATGGGACGTCGCAGAACGTGACGCCTTGCCGAGAGTTGCTATTCCTAGTTGACTGACGGCCTTCAGAGTGCTCTTTAGCGCTAGACTTCTCCAAGTTGCTGTTAAGTCAATGGGTCAAGTTGATTGCTCCAACAACTGTTCGCAATCGCTCGTCCGTCAATGGTTCTGAAATGTACGGTTTTGTCCTCGGAACCCTGTGGTAGATATCTTCGACCCAAAGACATGCTCAGCCACTGCTTAGAGGGGAGCTGCACGCATGTGTCGCAAAAACACGCCAACAGCACATGACTGACGCAAGCTCAATACCCCGTGGAGAACCGCAGGCAGCCCATGTTGGGTCATCGGGCGGCGGCGGGCCCTTGAAGAGACACACTTTTGAGTGGATGAGTCGCGCGTTTTGCCGACCGAAGTCCCTGACAGGGTGACAAGTGAGGCCCGAAATATGATCGGAAGATATGGACGCGCCTCTTGATCCCCAAGAAACAGCATATAGTCATCCAAATGATCACTTCACCAATTCTGGGCCATGTCATACTCGCATGACCTCTCCTGGCATACCTGCTGCCCGTACCGGACCAAGCCCGCCCACCTCGGCTTCCAGGAGTCGAAGGGCCTCTCGTGCGAAGGGCACAGCCTGGCTCCGTACGCGCAAGCTCCAAAGATACTCCTCAACGCGCTCTGCGTAGAACGAGGCCTCCGCGTCGTCATCACTGGTGGCCCAAAGGAGTCCGGCAAAGGTGCCAATGCTTGCTAGCTGAGCAGAGGCCATGAAACCCCAGAAAGACTGCGTATGCTCCGGCTGCAGATTCGAAATGATGGTTGCAGCGGCAAGAAGACGAGAACGGGCCCCTGTTCGAATAGCGTTGCGCAGCTCTCTAGGAGCTGATGAGCTGATGTTGCGAAGCATGGCTCGATGTAGGGCCAAGTCGATGGCAGTGTACGACAGGTGGAGAGAGCCTGGAGACTGTGAGTTGTGGTTCACTGCATGGCATTCACGCAGCGTCGGGCATTTCTCTTACCGTTCGCACATAACTTCTTGAGGCGGGTGTCCCGGAGCTGCAATGCCTCGGGCAACCCGTTGTACCATTCTCGCAGCATCATGACAATAGGCTTAGCAAGTTCGGCGACGCCAATGGTGCCGATCTGGTCCAGCGTACCCCCTCTCCTAGTGGCTTTGGCCGTGTAGAACGTCCGTAGCACATCGCTCAAGATGAGTGACAGCTCAATATGACGCAGGAATAGCTCACGACCAACGACTACTTCGGAACTGCCCTCCGGGTCGTGTTCCTCATCAGCGGCATTTTCGGGAAAGTCTTCGATGCAACATGGCTGGACATCCCAGTCCTCATTCGGACGAATGAGAAACGGCTTGCCGTGAACGAGAGCTCCCCATTTGTCTTGCATGAACAAGGCCCAGGCAAGACGGCGACGAAGTCCCTTCTCCCACTCCGGAATGGCCCAGTCACTACAATCTACGTGAAGACCAAGACCCTGGGACAAAGCGATGAGTTGGGCAGTGACGTTCCAGGTATTGTTCTTTGCACGTTGTTGAATCAGAAGACCAGCCTGAAGAGTCGAAATTTTCGGCCGCTTCATGTCATCACTCATGGTTCGTAGAGCGAGAGCTTCGAGAGCCGTCTGATCTGGTTGCCAGGAGGATGTCGCCAGTGTGCGATCGTACAGAGACCAGTCGAGAGCGAGTAGATAGACAGCAGCCAATAACGGCGGGGAGAACTCGTGATACGACCGGGCATACTTCTCGAGGAACACTTTCTTGTGGAGGATTGGAAAGCTGGGATGCACAATACGGAAGTAGAGGTTGACGAGGGACGAGCCCAGTGGATGAACGACTTTCTCGATGGCATCGAGGTCAGCTATGCGCTGGGATTCCGATGTCGTTTCCTTGTCTCTGTGAATAAGAAAGACGGTCTGGTCATCGAGACGGCGGACAGATCTGGCGGTCGAGTCCTCGGCGCGGTGGAGGTCGAGCAGGCACGGCTCTCTGTAGTTGGTCAGCCCGATATACTCGGAGTGCGTCTTGAGATGCAGGCCGAGAGTGCCATCGAGTAGGGAGGGCTGATGGTGAATGTAGGAGTAGCCGACTTGGTCTGAACCGGCGAGTGAGGGAGAAAGAGCCTCGAGATGTTCTGGTGACGTTTGCCTGACGCATGTTAGTGAATGGAGGGGAGAGCAGTTGGCCTGTACCTACTCGAGGTCTTCGTAATGGTCCAGGGGCAAGGGCACAGATGTCGAGGCTGCGCCCGGTGCCGAGGTTGGGCCTGAAGTGGAAGCTGCCGATGAAGAAGCGCCAGCGGAGCCGTTGGGCTGAGAACGGTGTTCGGCGGGGTCGGTAGCCTTGCGGCGCTTGCGAGGCAAGGGCCCGCGGAGGTAGGTGCAAGGCTGGCCGTGAAAGGTGCACATGACACACTTGTCGCGACCCTCCTCACGAACGCATCGGGTCTTGCGCTGGCGGCAAATGTCGCACGGGCGGCTCTGAGAAGACATGGCATTGTGAGAGTCGGGGCCGAGGCCGTGGCCGAGGCCGGACGGGTTACTGTGACCGTGGGCGTACCCATGGCCGTGAGCAAGGTGGCCGCCAGGACCGGGACTGGGGCCGTGGCTGGAGATGGGAGCGGCAGTCGAGCCGGATCCAGGGGCTGAAGCCGAGGGGAATGGCAGTGAGCCCGAACCAGCAGGTGGTGGCATCGGGGCAGGCGTTGCGGCATGTGCCGGTGTGGGCACGGGCGCAGGCGCGGCGGCGGCCGCTGGCGTAGGGGTTGGCAAATCCATGGACCCGAAGGCGACAGCCGGATCCATCGTGGCGAGATAGATTAAGAGGTGTGAGAGATAGCACAGAAGATGCGATGATGTTGATCAGGTGTATGTGTCATTGGCTGCAGGACCAAGGGATCGAGAGGTGGAGAAAATTGTCATGGCGATCTTTCAGAATTCGACGATAGATTATGGTCGATGGAGGGTTGCCAGGACGAGCATGAGACTTGGAATGAATGGTATGATGAAAGAAGATGCGACCGCAAGCCTTCGCCTTCAGGACTGCCCGAGAAGAGCTCAGGACTCGTCACGTCAGTGTGGTCTCGATAACAAGAGGAGGTGCTGGGTGTCCAGTGCTGGAGGGGGGGTCCGATAGAGGAGGGTTGCCAGCCAGTCAGTGCATGCCGGGCAGGCCTCGTAGCAGGCTTAGGGGGGCGGGCGAGCGGGCGAGCGGGCGGGCGAGGCGGCTGTCAAGCAACCTGGGTCGAGTCTTGCGAGATAAGCCAGAGAGACAGGGCAAAAGGCAGAGAGGCTGAAAAGCTTCTTCCTCTTTCTCTTTTCGGTCGTCGTCGTGTGTTGGTGGGTGTAGTGTGCAGAGGGGTGGCCGGTCAAGGGTTATCGCGTGGTGGCTCCGAGCGATAAAGTCGCTCATCTGGCCGATAACGCGCAAAGCAGACCGTGTTTTTACTGCCCGTCTCGGTATTGAGGGTGCTGTGAGACCCGAGGGTCTAAAGGGAATGCCATGTAAATGGATGGTCGAGGTAGTGGTGCAGTGGGTGTCGTGGTGCCGCCCAGGTAGGCATAGGCAAGGTGGAGGAGGACCAAGGGCCTTGGCTCGAGAGGTCTCATGGAAGAGACGAAAGTGCTTTTGGTGGGGGGAAGATGGAGGAGACCCGTCTCAGAACGGACTAGCGGACGTTGTCAGACATGTACATCCAAGTCTCCTGCACCATGCTGCAGAGCATCGATACGTGAAGCGACATTCTCATCTGACGACCCAAATAGGCGGGAGCCCCCCGGCGTTGGGCGTTGGGGGAAGGCGCGCCCCAGTGGACGCGGGATGCTCCTGTCTCCTGTTTTAGGTGCACAATAGCGGGCAGGTGGCTATTCCCTCCCTAAGAAGGGTTTTCCTTGGTAGCACCTACCTACTCAGCAAGTGCTTACATGGTAGGTACATGGTAGGTACCCACGACATCTGATAATTTGGCTCGTGGAACCTCCCCCTGGCTCGCTGGCCTCAACTTGCAGATACCTAAGGTAGCTACCTAGCTCTCTGCCACTCAACCTCCCTATACCGCGACAAGGCTCACATCAAGCATTCCGGCCACAACCGCACGAACCACGTCCACTGTCGACTTTCCTCCCGTTCCGTTCACTGCATTGCACCACATTGGCCTCACCACTGCAGCTCTTGCTCCAGTAACGCGCCACGCAGCCGCCGCGACTTACCGACGATGCCACGGCCATAATACAGCCTGCCTGGTACAATGCCTCAGGCTCGGACTCATGGAGCTTCCACTGGCGAGGACCATGCCTCTTCCGAAGAAGATCTCGGCCTCCTCGCCGACGATCCCCTTGCCGACACCAACGCCAAGTCTCCGCGCACGTCAAACCGCGTCCGCTTCGACCTGACACCCTCCATACGCGAAGCACCCGCCCCGAGCTCGAGCCATGGCGCAAGCAGTTTCGACATGGAGGAACCCCCTGGCTACTTCGAACAACACGGCCACGGCGACGACCAGCACCACCCCCTTCTGACCGACATCGAGGCGCCCTCTGTCGCCCTCGCCAACAGTCCCTGGGCCGAAGACGAAGATGTCCACGACTGGGCCGAGCAGCAGCGCCAGCGGCCCAAATCCGGGCTGCGCATGGCCTTTATGAACATGGCAAACTCCATCATTGGCGCCGGCATCATCGGTCAGCCCTACGCCTTCAAACAGGCCGGCCTGCTGGCGGGCGTCGTGCTGCTCGTCGGCCTGACCTTTGTCGTCGACTGGACCATCTGCCTCATCGTCATCAACAGCAAGCTCAGTGGCAGCGACAGCTTTCAGGGCACGGTTCAGCACTGCTTTGGCAGGCCGGGCCTCATCGCCATCTCCGTGGCGCAATGGGCTTTTGCCTTTGGCGGCATGGTGGCTTTTGGTGTCATTGTCGGCGACTCTATACCTCATGTCTTCTTGGCCATCTGGCCCGATCTGCGGGAGACGCCAGTCCTGTGGCTTTTGGCGAACCGTCAATTTGTCATTGCCGTCTTCATCATGGGCGTCAGTTTTCCACTGACGTTGTACCGAGACATCTCCAAGGTACCCATGTCCCTTTTGCCCTCCTCCATCACCAGCAGGGCGCGTGTCGCTAACCATGAGCAGCTGGCCAAGGCGAGCACGTTGGCCCTCGTCAGTATGGGTGTCATTGTGGTGACGGTCGTCGTCCAGGGCCTGCTGACCCCCAGATCTGAGCGGGGCTCCTTCACGCCAGCACTCCTGACCATCAACGGCGGCATTTTCGAGGCCATTGGCGTCATCTCTTTTGGTAGACACCGTCCGCCGCCGATGATCGTCCGCAGAGCACAGCTAACGAGAAACAACAGCCTTTGTGTGCCACCACAACTCGCTCCTCATCTACGGCTCCCTCAAGACGCCCACGATTGACCGCTTCTCCCGCGTCACCCACTACTCGACCGGCATCTCCATGGTCTTCTGTCTCCTCATGGCGCTGGCCGGCTTCCTGACATTTGGCGACAAGACGCTGGGTAACGTTCTCAACAATTTCCCCGCCGACAATGTCATGGTGACGATTGCTCGCCTCTGTTTCGGCCTCAACATGCTCACGACGCTGCCCCTCGAGGCGTTTGTCTGCCGCGAGGTCATGTTCAACTACTTTTATCCCGGTGAGCCCTTCAACCTGAAGCTGCACCTCATCTTCAGCACGGCGCTCGTGGGTTCGGCTACCGTCATCAGCCTCACGACCTGCGATGTTGGCGTTGTCTTCGAGCTCGTCGGCGCCACCAGCGCGTGCGCCATGGCATATATCCTGCCGCCGTTGTGCTACATTAAGCTGACGACGCGATCCTGGCGCACTTACCTGGCCATGGCTATTGTTGTTTTTGGCACCATTGTCATGTGTATTAGTCTGGTACAGGCTGTCGGCAAGATGATTAGCAGTGAGTAGCACGTTTGCCTTGGCTGTGTCTGTTTGAGATTGCTAACCCTTCATCTAAAGACGAGAGCGGCGCGGCGCAATGCATGTGAGATGTCAAGTGTACGATTAAACGAACTGAAAAGAGATGGAAACCTTAGTTGGGACTAGGGCGGGCTGTACCAATGAAGTCAAAGGTCGGGGACCCATTTTAACTAGACGTAAATAACTTGTAAGTCGCATCCAATGCACTGCGCAAGGGAGCAGTGCAACATCCATTATCCTTTTCCCCTCCCACCTGGCCTGTTTCACCACCACACAGTTGCTACCATGTATGCTGGCACTACCTCGAGAGTTGCCGCCAATTTGACGAAGGTCCCTTTTTGACTAAAAGTCATCATCCTTGGGGGGGGGGGGGGGCAGGGGGTTCACGCTAGTCGTCCGTATTGTTGAACATGTAACCTTCAGGGCGCGGTACAGACATGACTGGTGTCCCGTTTCAAACTACGGCAGTAACCTAAAAGAACACAGAACCTGCGTGTTGCTGGGCAGTACAGCTTGCCGTTGGTGAACATCATCCTGGAAAAGTAACATATAGTTACAACAGCATCCAGCCGGAAGCTTGCATCTCCCTCCGCCCTCTTCCCCTTTGTTTACCCCTAAGGCTGTCGGTTTGTGGTGTTCTCATTTCCTCTACTGCATAAAAAAGTAAGCGCCCTGACAAAGAGGACTATTCTGCAGCTTTTAATGAGAGTAACAGTCGGCTCCGCCAAGATGTGCCCCTGACTGTGGTCTGTGGATCTCATGCTCCGGGTAGCTAGCATCCAGAGGCACGCACAAGGGGAGACAACCTTGAATTGAAGGCCAATTTGAGTACTCTAGGTTTACGACACAGCGTGAGTGCCCGCCAGACGCTATGAACAGCCTTTTAGGATCGAAACGGTTGCACAAGGTCAACAAAGACTCAGTTCTCGCTTTCCTCTTGGGTGACCAGGCCTCCTAGGTAGGCCTCCTGGGCAGGCCTCCTGAGCTAAGGAACATAACTTTGATCCAGAAGACCCAAACCTAGCAAACGGGACTCTGGACATTTCTGAAGCCTATGATGTTATGATATATTCTCGGGAACCCTCCATTGAGGATCGGACTGGAATGGCCAAGGTCTTCTCTTCTTCGGTGCAAGACGTCCATCTACTTTGCCTAAAGTACCCCAGTCATTACCTTCCAAAACCTGATAATGAGAATCAACTTCCAAACGGCGGCACTCGCCCTCGGTAAGTGAACACGCCACACCTCTGTCGCTCTGGTGCGTACGTTAGTAACCGTCATAGCGTGCGCTCCTCTCGCGTGTGCCCTGAAAGTCACGATCCTGGCGGATACCAACCGGGATGGAATCATCGATGCCAAGACGGATGCCGAAAAGAAAGACCAGTGGACCGAGACCAGAGGTGCCCTCTTCCTACCCAACATTGGAGACTCCGACGGCCGGTGCGCCACTGAAATAGACGACACATGGGCCAACATCATGAATCAGACAATTGACGTGGATGACAAGATCAAAATCCTGAACGACGTTAGCAACTCTTGCAACGACTCTTCGGACAATGTTCAACGCAACCCAAAATACCTGGCTCCCATCCTCGTCCTCGCGAACTGCAAGGTTAGTGCCTCTGCCACAGGCTCTGTCTACGTTACGGACGACCTGGCCGCCAAGAGCGTACGCATCTTCCAGAAAGACGGCGACGCCTGGAAGTACATTGCAGCAGACCACGTCTTCACGGCACAGGAGCTCAAGAGAGGCATGTCCCTTGGTATTGACGCGCGAGATGTCCGACGTGCTGACGGCTGGAATGGCACTGCCATCGTCCACATGACCGTGACCGACGGGGCCGAGAAGGCCACGGATGCTGTCGCTTTCCGCGTGGCCCCAGTTCTGACGCATCACCACGCTCAAGGCTTGGAGGCGGTCTTTACTACAGCCTCTTGGCAAGACAACGATTCACAATCCTACTTCGTGGAGAATTTTGAGAAGGGCGTTGCCGCAGCAGGATTCAAGGACCCTGTCTATCGCATGGTGGGCCAAGACATCTGGACGCAGGACTACTTTGAGGCAGGGTACGCCAGCATCCCTGGCCTTAACGGCACCATCGTCATCCGCATCCTCATCCGGTCCGCCCAGTGGTACCGCCCAGGTGGCATCGAGTTGTTCGAGCTCATGCGATCAGACACCGTGGGCGCCGTGCAGGAGCTCCTCGAAGGCTACACACTTGACTCGATGGGGAACCTTGAGACAATCCCTCCCTACACGCACAACGGCAAGTCGTACCCCGCCGGCCGCATCATCATGGGCACCTGGGACAGCGAAAAGCCCCTGATATTCGGCTTCCTCGAGGCGCAGGAGATCCAGGAGCCCCTCGCGCTCGACACTTCTTGGCTGGCTGTCGGCCACGTCGACGAGTTCCTCCAATTCCTGCCGGCAGACAACGAGCGTGGCTGGATTCTGATGGTCAACGATCCCCACGGCGGCCTCGAGCTCTTCAAACGCGCCTCGCGTAACGGTCACGGCCGGGTGCGCGCCGTGTCCCGATCACCTATGCCCGGCGACGACAGCTGCCTGCCCACTCAGACGGTCGACGAGATTCTGGCCTTTGCTGACCTAGCGACCATCACGGACGACGTGGCGGCCCGTATCGAGGGTAATATCGCGATCCTCAAGCGCGAGACAGGCCTCACGGACGCCGAAATCTTCCGCGTGCCGGCCACATTCTACCCGCTCGATCAGGACGTCTTCGCCTGCGGCAACTCGACACGCAACGCCACGCTCGCCGCGCGCGAGAACAAGCTGCCCAAGGCAGGCCCAGCAGCGCGCGTCCAGTCCATCCTCGAGGCGGCCCAGCCGCCATCGGCAAAGGGCCTCGTGCGCAGACAGACCAGCTTCGATAGGCCGGTCACGGCTCTGTTCCCGAACGCCATCAACAGCGTCGTGCTGACGGACCGCTCGGTCCTGGCGCCTAACCCGTGGGGACCTGTCATTGATGGCGTGGACATCGTCGCCGAGGCTGTCACGGCGGCGTACGCAAAGGTCAACTTCAAGGTGGCATACGTGGACAACTGGTTCTCTCACCATGTGCACTCGGGGGAGGTACACTGCGCCTCCAACGTGTGGCGTGACGCCAGCATGCCTTGGTGGGAATAGGTAGGGGGCTTGACGAGGCGAGGTACGGCATGTGCCCTTCGTATCTACCTAGGTACCTTAAGGTACGCTGCGGCAAGCGGGGCTGGCTCGGTGATGTTTCGTAGGCTCAGTGGGGGGAGGGGACATGGGGAGAGGATTTTATTCTATAGTTAGTCGGTAGAGGTCAATACAACTGCTGACATATGACGGGGCAAAAGCACGAGACAACGTGTTTTGGTTTGCTCGCCCTTGTGCATCTCGACCACGTTGTGGCTTGGCGGCGAGTGCAGAGATGGGCCGTGTCTCATGCTTGTTTTTGGTGACACGGAAAGTGTGTGTATGACATCTGGGCCACGTCTGAGATGCACTTTCGATTCAAAGATGGCCGTCAAAATAGTGGTGTGCTGACCCAGAAGTAAGCTGAATGACACTGAAAAAGAAGAGGCTTATTTGTCCTTGCTCGGACATCGGCTGGCCAAAGTGTCTGGGAGCTGTCACTTACTGTCCCTCTGCAGCCAAGGGGGCTCCTACCTGAGTTTCTTGCGACAGGAGGGAGATGCCCGTAAAGAGCGGCCTTCATAACATGCCCTTACTCATGTAGCATATCTGTGTGTGCCTGTAGATTATATTTGCTAGGTTTCCGCGCGTCGCCTTAGCCAAGAGAGATCAGTCCAAATGACTTGCTCATGCCACCAAGGCGGTCAACACCAAGCTAAGCAACGTACTACCCGAAAAAGCGTTCCGACGAGATCCATGACCACCGCCAACCCCCCCCCCTTCTTCCCAGACGAAACCCAGCATCCCCTCGCGAAGTGGGATCCAGACTCTGGGTCCCGGCAGAGTAGGAACAAAAACTTGTCCTCCTAACCTTCGCAACCGACGCTATTGGACCAGCGCATATCAATCACGTGACACCGCCTACCTCCGCGCGACCCTTTATCTACTCCTCGCGAGAAGCGCATCAAACCTTCCTCACGCGGGGTAAAGCCTTCTCTCCTGTATTCTTTCAACCTCATACCATACGAGTACGCCTCTCTCCCTGCTTTTAATCTCCTCCTGCTGCCGTGTTCCAAAAAGCTGACATCTACACCAAGCCTTCCAAGCCCGTTTGAAAACAAGACAAGAAAACACGCGTGCACAATGTACCCCGTCAACGCTTCCCACAGCTCCTGCCCCAAGTGCAGCGCCGCCATGTCGAGCGACAGCAAGACCTGCTCTTCCTGCGGAGCCGTGAGTGAACCCCTTCCCTTCATTTCGAACGCTGCACGACAGGAATCGTTCTGATGGTTGAATCTAGTCTTGCCCTGTCTAAGAGACTTTGGGGACAGCTTGAGCTTTTGGATCCAGAGGATGTCAGGAGTACCATGTACCAGTGAGGCGAGGTGTGCAGGTTTGGCGTTGAGGCGGTGGTGTTGACGACGACGACGATGGTGATGATGATGACGACGATGACACGGTGCTCTTGAGAGTGGCGATGATGCTATGAAAGGCCGGCGGCTGGGGACGAATACTTGACGAGACCCAAATTGGACCACCCGTTAGTTCTGCCTGCCACTGCTTCCTACGTGTCGTTGCCTGGGGCCAGGAACGTGAGAAGGCTGTCGCTTATGTGGCAGAGCCCGGTACTGAAGCCCCCGGGGAAAGCTCACAGTCGACCAAGGCGAAGCGCGTTCGTGATTTGCATGCCTCGCTCGACTCTCCCAGTCATCGTTCATGTAATGGCAACGGTCATCGCCATCCAAGCCACACGATGGCAGATGTGGACTACGCGCGTCATGAAGGGCAGCAACATCAGACATGTAATTCGAGCACACCAAATATCACAGCCCCTAAAGCGCACCCATCTCCTCCTGCCTGGTCTAGGTCGCGAGCCCAACGAGAACACAATGAGAAACGGTAGAATAGAGGAAAGAAAAAGTGTTTAAAAGAAAAGAAAAAAGGCAAGACGAGAGCCAAATGACGCAAAGCAAACCGCAGGTATGATATAGCCAGCCCCTCCAGGAACAGACGGCCGCATAGTCGGCCGAGGGTCCAACAAAACTACAAGACCAAAACTACCACCCACACAACCCAGTGCCAGTGCCGTCCGTGTATCTCTCCCTTGCTACCCTGTGAGCCCTACCGCCCCAATCGGCCTCAGACGTGCAACCGTCGGTGAGGCCCGTGTATCACGTCCCAGTCAAGATACGAAGCACCCTCACGCAAGTCCTGCAAGTCCATCCGAACGGACAGACGAGCACGCCTGCCTCTTCTCCCGGCTGGCAAAGCCTGAAGAACCGGCAGGCCCTCAAACAAATTCACAACACATAGGACTTCCGGCCAAACTTGAGGATGTGCATGCGTGTGCTTTGCGCGCAAAGCTCTTGGTGAGAACGAGACGATATTGATCAAAACTTCCAAATTCCAGGAACCTATGCAGGCGGATATAGTCCTCGCCCTCCAAAACCGCCGCGACGACCCTTGCTCATCCGAAAAAGCCGGGGGAGGATAAATTCGACGGCGGGCAAATGAATGAGGACGATTGATCGGTATGGAGATTACAATTGGGGGTGAAAATGGGACACAAAAGTGTTTGAGGGTCCCAAAGCGGGAAGGAGGATACAGGGAGGGAGACGTTGGCGGGTGGGCGTGTGTGCAGACGAGTCGAAGTGCGGGTATGTATTTAGAGCAGGTTGCACTTGTGCTTCTTGCTGCCGCCTCGGCTGCGCGACAGAAGGGCGGCACGAGTGGCGTGCTCAAAGACCTCACGGACTCCCTCGTTCGTCTTGGCAGAGCACTCGAGGTACTTGTAGGCGCCGATCTTCTTGCGAACCTCCTCACCCTATACGCTGGCGTTAGCGATGTTTTGACGATGCTCACGAGGCAAAGATATCAGGTAAACCGACCTCCTCAGGCGACACGGGCTTCTGGCTCGTCTTGCGGAGCTCCTCAATCGTCTTGTTGTCGTAGCGGAGATCCTTCTTGCAGCCGACAAGGATGATGGGCAGGCCCTGGCAGAAGTGCAGAACCTCGGAGATCCACTATGGGGAGAGAAGAGAGAACGTGTCAGCATGGTGTTGCAATGGCGTTGAAGAGACGAGATGAATCTTCCGCGTCTTATCAAAGATGTTGGCCGATTTGAAGGACGGGGAGTATTTCGTACCTTCTCCTGGACGTTGTCGAGCGAGTCGGGAGAGTCGATGGAGAAGCAAATGAGGATGACGTGGGAGTCGGGGTAGGACAGAGGGCGAAGACGGTCGTAATCCTCCTGGCCAGCGGTATCCCAAAGAGCTAGCTCGACGTGCTTGCCATCGACCTCGACATCGGCGACATAGTTCTCGAAGACGGTGGGGACGTAAACCTGGAAGATGGGTCAGTCATCAATGTGGCGCAGGTATTGAGGGCGGTCGAAGATGCTGAGATGAGCATCATCGGAGCGGGAGGAGAGGCATGATGCGGCCGATAGGCAGGAGTCTTACCTCGGGGAAAGTGCCCTTGGAGAAGACGCTACGTAGGAGGGTCAGCTCTGATCGACAGATGGAAATGGCAATGGAGATTTGGATGGCGATGGAGGTGACGACGCCAGAGAGATTGACTGCGATCGTCGTCGTCGGGCGGCGGAGAAGGGCACCAGCTCCCCGTCGTCATCGAGGGTCTGGAGGAATGGGAGGACGAATGGAGGTTCGCGAGGCCTTCTTGTTTGGGTGGATGCTAACTCACATCAACAAGCAGGTTTTACCACAGGCACCGTCGCCGACGATGACGAGCTTTCGCCGGATTTCGGCCATGGTGTATGATGTGAGGGTGGTTTTGGATGGAGAGGCGGTCGGTGACGATGAGTGTTGTGCTTTTGTTGTTATGGTAGAAAGGGGGATGGCAAGGCGCGGTCGGGGGTGTCGTGGAGAGATGGAGAAGTTGAGTTCTGCTGCGGCCGAGAAGGGGGTTTGATGAGGGAGTGATGGGCAGTGGTGGCAGTGGTGGCAGTGGTAGCAGCGGTAGCAGTGCCTAGCAGCAGAGCAGCAGCAGCAGCACCTTAGTGGAGAGCAGTAGGCGGGTGGGTGGGTGAGGTAAGGTCAGGCAAGGTGAGGTGTGCAGGCAGACAGACACTGGCAGTGGGGTTGACTTGACGACGGGGTGGGTGGGCGCCCTCACAGGGCAGCTGGCAGCGGCTTGGACGTTCCTTTCTGGCTGACGGTACCTACTCAGGTCACTGTAGAGGCTCGGTTTTTGGCTTGGTCTGGGCTCGGAGCCTGGGTCGGCGTGTGTGGACGTGAGACCTGGAAGTGGGCGCGCGTACATGTGCAGGTCGGTCGATGCTTCAGGGCCTCCGGTGGTACGTGCGTCTGGGATGGCAGCCGGGGTGGGTGGGTAACAGCGATGTTGTCACGGCCAGTGGCAGACGAATCTTCGATCTTAGGAACAGGCAGGATGGTGACAGCTTTATTATGATCAGGTACCTAGATGCCGAGATGCCACTCGTCTGCTGCATGTCCTACGCCTTTTTGGCTCGTCACACCAATGTCCTGGCTACCAATGATCACGGTCATGGTGGTGGTGATGATGATGATGATGGAATCAATGTCCTATCCGACTGGCAGGTAAACTTGGTCGCTCGCTCGCTTTGTTTCTTTCTCTCTTTCTTTCGCCCGCCCTCCCCGCCCTTCCCCTTGCCTAGCCTGCACAAACCCCCGACCAGCAACACGTGCTCACAGTCGTGAGGTGAGGTGCTCGGCATCATTGTCGGGCTATGCACCAGGTGTGGCTTGGATTGTGCTGCCACGCCTAGCTCGTCCGAAGTACCCTTTCCTCGTGATGGCGACCAAGAAGGTACATCCATCAACCGTCCCAGAGGTAGCCGATAAATACAATCAACCTGAGGATGTGCCACTCGCACCCACTCATTCACTCTTTCTACCTACCACCTACCCATGCCTGTACCTGTGCCTGCCGAAGTACCTACTGTCGCTCGGGGCCAGGGCTGGGGCCGGGGGTCGGACGCGACACTCATTGGGTGGCTTTGGGTGCTTGACAACCCCCAATATCCACTAAAGACACACTGAACCTCTACACATTTCCTCCCCCGTGAGGTGGTAATGCAGGTACTCACGAAGCAAGTAGGCACCCTGGCAGCCATTTCAACTCACCAGGCTTCTGGCCATTCCGTGTTCTGAGGCAAGGTCGAACACTACGCACCCCTGGCGCTACCGTAGATAGATCAGCAGCACGCAGATTGCCTCTCTGGCTTCGGGTTTCAGATGTTTGCTGAGTGAGCGGGTAGCTCCCCCTCCCCACCATCCTCAGAAAGGCGTAAAACCATTGGAGGACTCCATCAGCCTCTATGTCCATCATTTTCATTCCTCGCTCTCCATTGTGGTTTGGCATAGGTTCAAAAGGGTGAACCTCCGTGGCCAGTTCCTCCATCAGCGAACATGGGACATCCACGTCCGATGTCCGCCCGTGAACCGAATCACGAGGACACCTAAGGTAGGCAGCCTACCAGGACCCTGCCTGACACGGAACGCCGCGTCGGTTCATCATAACAAGGCTGCCAGTCCCTCCCATGCCGACATTAGTCACACTGCAGATCCAAGACTCGTGGCTGTCGTGACGCTGCAGTTGGTGACCTGGCAGTGAGGTGCGGTCAAGCTGTTTGGAGCATGCCTCCCTGAAGACCGGGGGAACAGAAAGTCCTGCAGATTCTAGGACTCCCTCCGGCTCTCCTGGCAGGCACCTGACATGTCACAGCCTGAGTCGTGGTCGTCCAATCTGGGTCCGTCGGCGAGGCTGACCGGGACAGCGGACTCTGGAGTCCAAGCACAGAGCATGAAGGCGGAGTGTTAGAGAGGGGCGATACAACGGCAGATTATGGCCTAGGCACCTCAAGCAGCTCGGTGTGAGACAGAGAGGATGGAACGGAGTCACGGTTGCCAACGGACAGCGCCCAGTCAGGGGGATAGTGCAATATGACGAGCGGTCAAACTTCAAGTGAGGTACGTGCCCACGTACCCAGGTAGGTACCGCCGTCCGCAGGTAGGTACCGCCGTCCGCAGGTAGGTACCGCCGTCCGCAGGTGCAGAGTGGCACCAGCTGGTCTAGTGAACCAGCTCCGGCTGGAAGACTTGCCCCACCAGATAAGAGACAGCGGCCCGGCGATTCTCCGATCACTATGGGTCGGACCTACAACTCAGTTGTCCATTCTTGGACCCACATGTAGTGGCCAATCCCATGCGCAGGGGAATTTTGTCGTGAAAGCTTCAGGCTCGAACGAGAACGACGCAACAGTGAGCCGACGCCCTTCCCACCGACCCCAGCCCTTCAATGCGGCGTGCCCGATGAACGAACGCCTCTGAAACCTTCGAATCCTTTCCTACATCATGCAGAAGCTCGTCAAGCGCACTGCGGAAGCGCAGCGGGCCGTCGCCCGCCGCACCGCCAAGAAGACCCTGAACGTCTATCGCAGGAGCAAGCTTGAGCGCCGTTCCGAGCAATCCCAAAATGTCGAGGAGATCGCCGGTGACTTGCGTGCCGCCCGTGTTGCTCGTGCGGAGGCCTGGGACCTCGGCCCCCTGACGCCCCGTCGCGATGTCGACGGCAACTTCACCCACGGCGCCACCCTGTTGTCGAGGAACAGGCCACAGACATCCTTCAAGGCGTGGGAGATTGAGCAGAGGTGCGCCTGGGCTGGCGGCAGCAAGCTTCTGAATATTGTCAAGAACGATCGCGTCGTTGTCATGGAGGGCCCTGACAAGGGCAAGATTGACCTGATCAACCACATCGACCTCAACAATGGTGTCGTCGAGCTGAAGACTTTGGGCAAGGTACGCATGCACTCCTCCCATCTGCCATGGCACATGTTCCCAATCAGAAACAAAGGCCCGCTAACACGGACAAGTTTCTCACCGTCGTGCCCGACGTCCACCGAAAAGTCGACCCCTCCCAGCCTCCCACCTCGACCGCCACGGGCACCCTCCCCATCTCCGCCATCCGCCTCGTCCACCCCCTGACAGACCCCGTCACCGGCATCACCCGCGATGTCATCGTCCGCTCCCTGACCGCCGGCCCCGTCAAGCGCCACCGCGCCACGGGCTGGAAGGCCTGGACCCGCTACATCACCGGCCTCAACGTCGCCGTGCCCTGGCCCGAGCGCGAGGGCGTCGAGCGCGTCGACCACCCCGCCGACACGCTGCTCGCCGCCGTCGAGGAGCCGACCTTTGTCCCCTCGCTCCTAGCCTGCCCGCTGCCCGAGACGCTCATAGACGAGCTGCGCAACAAGTACTCCAAGTTCCGCGCCCGCCACGAGCTCGAAGACGTCCAGCGCAAGGATGCCGAGGCCAGCAAGAAGAAGGCCGGCTTGCGCCTCCGCCGCCACCGTGATGACGTCCGCTTCAGGAGTTGAACCATGAGTGGCGAGATCCCGCCGCGCGCCGTTCGGCCCCCATGCTCCCCTAGGAGATGCACGAGAGTTTCCCTCCGTCGCATCGCCAAGAGTAAGGCCGCCGCCCTCAGCGTCGTCCGGCGTGTCCGAGGTCCACGAGACGCCCGCGCAGCTTCTCGATGCGGCACGAGACGGCCCGTCACCGACGGCGCAGCAATGAGATTTCACAAAGAGGCGGAGCAGGATGGGAAGCGGGCTGTCCACGGGAACTGGGAGGGCGGCCTGATCAGTGTACAAATTAGAATCATGTGAAGTGAGAAAGCTTAGATGTGCAACAAAGTGTACTTTTAGCAGCGAATAGACTGCATCAAATCTCCTTCCTTCTTGGTTTTGTCTTTATCCTAACGAGGCTATTTTTCCTGTCATGCCCCGAGAAGTGTCAGCTTTGTAAAAGGCAAAACAACCGGCGCCTCCTGCCTGCGGGTCCTTGCGTCCAGATACTCCCCAAACACGGCAGCGCCGCCTGACACGGCGACGTGGTCGTCAGGCTGTTCTTCTGCCACCTGGCCGGGCAGAGGGACGAAGACCTCGGCGACAGCAACGCGACACCCCTCGACAACCTCGCCCATGAGCGTCTCAACGGCCCTTGCGCGCTCACCCATATCTCTACGCACGAGTGCGAACACAAGAGCAGCCACCTCGACTTTGATGCTCTCGATACGCTCAACAAGACGCCTCACTGAGGCGACGAGATACTCCTCCTCGTACACCGTGCCCTTGCGTCCGCGCGCGCGCTTCTTCTCCTCGCGTCGACGGTTCTTGCTCGTCGCCCGGCTGACGCCTGTGCCGACCGTGCCGACGCTGCCCGCTTTGCCCGTGTACCGCGTGAATAGACTGGCGGACGTGCTGATGCGAGAGCTGGCGGCGATGGAGACATCGTCGGGGATGTCGGCGCCGGCCGGCCCACGCTCGCCCTCGTAGAAAGCGAGCGGGTCCTCCTCTGCGCGGCGGCGGAGCTCCATGATGCGCGGTACCTGAGCGCGGAGCTGGGCCTTGCAATCGGCGAGGAGGTCGGTCGTGCTGCTGAGCGCGTCGACGAGGGCGGGGTCAAAAACAGTCGACAACAGGTCGAGGCGGGCTTTCTGGGAGATGAGACGCAGGGCCTCGGCAAACTGGGAGCCTTTGCAGAGTGAGCGAATGGCGGTCTCGATGGAGGAGAGGTATTCGACGTAGATGGTAGCAGCAGATGCGTGATCTTTGGCCTCGGTGAGGGCGTCTGCAAGCGAAGACGCGAGATCCGACAGGGCGTCGGGAGAAAGTGCGGGCGATTGCTGCTGGGCGGCGTATAGACACTCTCGCCAACTGGAAGCGCCCGAGGCGCGGTAGCAAGCTGTGGCTTTGGTATAGTTCTCCAGGAATTCGTATGCAAGGCCTGCGTCGCGGTATTTGGACCTGGACTCTAGATGCTCGGCAAAGAGATTGGTGAGGGTACGGTGTTTGGGCTTGTCGTAACGGTAGAGGTCCAGCGCTTCTTGATAAAGGGCATACTTGACGACATATTGTTGCAATTCGTCAAAGACATCTAAACCCTTGAGGTGTACGAGGGCCTTGCCGCGTCGTTCGAGATGGTCGTCGATTTGGAAATGGCGGCGAAGGGTTGGCAGCTGGTGCAAGTCCTGGATGAAGGGCAGATACTCGCGCGGATCCCGTTGTGATTGCTGTGCAACCAGTAAAGCTAGTTCCAGGTTGTAAAGACCCAGAGCATTGTCGTAAAGTCGATTGACGTCAACGAGGAAACAAATGTGCTCAATGGCCTTTTCAGCCAGCTTCTCATCTTCCTGCATGAGCCCAGATACCAGGGTAAGTCCGTCATCGAGCGCAGGCGGCACTTTGCAGACGTGGGCAGTGATGATGTTCTGGAGGTTCGTATCCTTCTTGCTCTGCAAACTCTTTAATATGGAGTTGCAGATTTTGTTGACTTTTGATTTGGATTCTTTTTCGGCTGTGAGAATATCAAGCGGCGTTTCTGATGGGCGGTCGGCGGTCCGTTTGGTGTCCTTGTACATGGTTTGCGTAACGTCTTCTTCCCTGTTGATCGTCAGTAGGGCCGCAGCAGGATGAGAGGCGGGAGACTAACCTTAAAGACGAGAGGAACAGATCGATATAAGTAACGTCCTTGAGCTGGTCCAGGAAGAGACCGACATGGGCAAGAAATTGTTCCGGCTGGTGGTCGTAGAGAATGTTCATATCTACACGTTGCGTGCGGCAGTATGAAAAGGCGCGGGCGTAGTTCTTCTCATCAACAAGCTTCCTGATGCCCGCCACGACCATGGCACGAGGGTAAATTGTTTCGAGGTTCCCTCTGGGCATCTGCAAAACAATGCTCATGTTCGTCGGCATGGCCGTGATCAGACGGGCGCCGCGTTCGATACTACGACACCTCTCGTCGTCTTGTGGATTGTCGCCAGGGACTTCCATCTCATCAGGACTGACAAGATGGACAAACTTGACAAAGTGATTATTTGTCGTAAAGATAATGTGGGCGTCTGTCACCACAAACGATGTGCAGTTCTTCGCCAGGAGGTGTGAGTCCGCGAATAAGTGGCCATTGCGAGTCATACCAATAGACACAGATTGCTCCTCGATATTGACGAGTTGATGCCATGCAAGCTGAGATGGCAGCTGTCGTCCAAGAGACGTCAACCCCGCACCACCAGAAAGACTAAAGAGCTTTCCAGAGCGATCCTGTGCATATGCCTCCGCATCCGACAGGCCACAGTGACTGGAGATTGATGACACAGGGTCAAAATCACTCAGCTCGTGTACATTGGCAAGGCTAATTGTCGAAGTAGAGGGTGAGAAGTCGAAAACCTCAATCTTGAGCTCCTGCTCGAAGACCAAAACACAGAGTTCGTCAGATGCAGAGAAGCAGGTCTGCAGAGGCACACGCGCCCTTGGGTCTCCCAGCAAGGATTCGAACGTCGCTGAGCCGAGCAGCTTTGGGCGAAGCGCACGCTCCCCTTTGGTCTCCCACTGGAAGAGTTCTAGTCCCTGGCGATGCAGAACTACCATGCGCGAGTTGTCCATGTTGAAGGCGACCTCAACGATGCTGGAGGGAACCTCGAGGTCAAACAGCGACATGGGCGGAGGGACGTTTGCTGTCCGGATCGGGGTGACCTTGACAGTCTGCCCATCGGCAACAGCCACGGCGCCGAAATCGTGAGGCGGCAGCAGTGCTCCTCGGGCTGCTGTGAATGTGTATTCTGAAGTTGTGAGGGCAACTGTGCAGTGTTAGCATGATGACAGTAGCTTCGTCCCAAGGGGACGTACCAGTCGTTGCCAATGCAAGCCTCAACGCCTTCTCTGGATGCCATGCCAGCCAAGGAGAGGTAGAAGAAGTATGAGGAATCTCCTGCTTGAGATACCAATGATAGTTCCCCATTGTCCACAACTGAACCTTGTCGCCCAGGATGATAGCCAAGACCGTCGAGTCGGCGTTCCACTCAAGCCTGATCCTACCGTGCTCTGTAACTGGTCCGTCCGGAGACCTCAGGGTGAATTGGCCGTGTCTCAGACCATTCCTCTCAAAGAAGACAATATCGATCTTCTCCTCGAAACGCTGCACAGCCGCAAGCAGGTTTCCTGCCGGCCGCCAACTCAAGCTGCCCTCGAGCCCATCGACAGGCTCGCTGGCACTGTCGAGCACGCCCTCACGGGTGTACACCCTAACCACCCTCCTGGATCCCTCAATGGCGTTGACGGCAACGTACGTACCGTCGCCTCTCCATGTAATGGTGACTTGACGGTCGTCCTGTGTGCTGAGCACACCCTCGTCTACCTTTTCTGGAATTGTCGGGTCCCTGAGGGCCTTGGCGCCGCGTCCCTCAAACTGCGTCTCCTTCTTTCCCCAGCCGACAGAGACGTGCTTCGATGCGGCAAAGTCCCGAGCCGTCATGGCCACCTCGGCGATTGGGTCAAAGGTCCGCCCCATGAAGACGGCGTTTCCGTCGCCCGTGGTGATGGTGAGCAGCTCATCGTCGGGCGACCAGCGCGCTGCGGTGATGCCAGCGTCGATGGAGCCAACCATCTCAATGTGTGCGGCATCTTGGCCCGAGGAAAATGTGTCGGACTCCTGAACAGTGATGATGTCGCCGCCCGCGAGAATGACGCATGTCGTAGCCGTGTCGCTAAAGTGGTGGATGCTGATGATCGAGTCGGCGGTGACATCAGGGTTAGGGCTGGGCGCGTCCCAGGTAGCAACAGTTTCGGATGATCTAAACGTGTCAGTCTTGGGCTTTCAAGGGGTGGACGATGGGACGCACAGTTTGTTCTGGTCTGATATCCTTACCAGGTCGATGGTGGCTCGCGCCTCTGTAGGTCCGACTGTGCACAAGAGGTCATCGTTGGCGGGGTCCCAGCAGGTCGAAGTAATGTCTGCATGGGACCACTGGCCGAAACGGATGTTGCGAAGATTACGCATGGTGGATGCCAGATTCTGTGTGCAATCAGCTGGGCCTCGTCTTTGTGTGTACTCTAGAGAGAGGCCCTGGTTGGGGCAGATCGTTGATATCTCATTGAGATCACTGAGCAGTCGTTGGATTCTGAAAAAGTCTTGAGATCAGTCATTGGAGGGGGTACATTGGCGGGGCATTCCCACTGTACCTTCCATGGTTGACGACTGGGTTGTTGAGCGGCACGGCAAGTGCACTTTCTTGAGTAGATTCTCTCACACCACGTTTCTTTGCGAAGAAAAAGAAGAAATCGCACGAGAATCACGCCAGTGGTTTTGATAGACCAAAAATATTTGTGTTCGAATTTGTTTGAACCACCAGTTACCACAGAAGCCAGTCACGATGTCCCATCGAAGCTGATACACAGGTACCTCCCCAACTGCAAAACCAAGTATCCCTTCCCACCAATCACCACACCGCTTGCCATCACAAAACAGCCCGATCGGCGAATCACAAGCCGCACTCGCGCCGGCTGGCGAACCCCAGCTCCCTCGGCACGAGTACGGGTAGGCACAGACTCATGCTGCTTGCCCCAGATTCTGCCTCTTGCATTCGCCTTTGCATCGACAAGCTCCCGGTTTCCTCCCGCTCCTCCTCCCTCTTCATCCCATCAGCTGTTTCCCCTCCTCTCGAACCACCTTGTCGAACCACTGAGCCATCAGGGAATCATTGGCTGACTTTCTACTCCCCTGATTATCGTCCTTATTTATTCGGCCGATTGATTGCTCCTCCTGCTATTCGGCCGGATCCCTTCTCCCAAACCAATTCTGCATCTTCGCAGCAATCACGATGGACGAAGCATATCAGCAACATTCGCACCACGCGCGCCGCAAGAACCGCTCCTCTACGAACCTCAACCACCTCACACTCGCACCTCTGACCACGAAACTGCCTCTCGATGACGACGCCTACGCCGAGTACCCGCCTCCCCCCCACACGACCTCCTACCTTCAGGGCAAGTCGGCACCTACGACGCCGGGCCTCCTGACCCGCTCGCCCGTCCAGTCTCGCTCGCACTCTCGCCAGGCCTCCGCCGCCGCGGCAGCAGGACGCACCCACCTCCCGAAGAGCAAGTCTGCTTCCCACCTTGCGTTCCCTCTCGACGAGGACGCACTGCGCCGGAGCAAAAGGAGCGCCCGCGAAGCAGCGTCCGGCACGGCGTCGCCCGTACACACCCGCCGTCGCCAGAAGAACGATTACCCGCCTCAGGATGACAGCGGCGACTGGCTCCTGCGCGCGGGCGTCGCGCTGAGCAGCGAGGCCAGGGAGTACAAGGGCCAGACGTGGCTCACGTCGCGCGCCAGCTCGACGAGTCTCGCTGGCGGGCGGGACGCCGAAGAAGAGGCCTTTGAGAGGGAGGTTGCGCGCGAGCGTGAGCTCGCTATGCGGCAGGGCAGCCGGAGGGGCAGCGTGGCCGACCTCGAGCCGTACCGCTCCGCCCGCGGCAGTCGCCAGGGCAGTCGCTCGGGCAGTAGGGTCGGACGCCGGAGCCAGCTCATGACACCGCTGGATGGGCGGCATTCGGACGAAGGCTACTTCGACCGATTGGCCGCGGGCGACGAATACCTCCAGGGTCCTGACTTTGTGAACCTGGACGAGAAGCTCGAAGCCGTCGACCAGGACACGACGCAGGACGACGAGGCCGCGGTGCGGCAGCTGGTCAAGGGCGAGAACGCCGGGCGTGGCTCTTGGTTCGGCTGGGCCCTCTTTTCGGTGGAGGAAAACGCCGAGGACTCCGAGGACTCCGATCTCGGCGATGACGATCTCGTCGACCCGGTTGATTCGGAGGCCACATCCATCCGGAGGGATCCGTCAGTTCGGTGCTTTGAGATAGCGAACAGTGCGCCAGGCGAGCGTGTCCAGCCTCCGAACCCTGATGAGGGTGGTTGGCGTGATGCCGCCTGGCTGCTGAGTGTGGCATCCAAAGTCATACTGTGAGACCGAGATCAGCATGGCGATCCTGGCAATGCATCCGCTGGAGGGGTGGCGGGACATGGTAGGAGTGGCGGGCGAATGCATTGGGTCTTAACCTGTCCGCGACCTCCAGAATAACCAGGATCAATAGAGTTGGACATCGTATCTGTGTTCCTTGGCGAACAAGCCTGCGAACGAGCCGTTGCACCCAGAATGCTGGTAAGCCAAGGGCCCTGGTAGCGGAACAACCGCTGCGCTGGCCCTCCACCCAGGGAACTTGCGGCCAGCAGTCGTGATAGAGTCCACGGAATGAAGCCTCACCGAATGTAGCTACAATCGGCACCAACGGCGTCACACAATAAACCGCCAAGGTCAGCAGCAACGTCAATGGAAGATTTGGACCCTTCTAGCCCTGAGATCGGCGCTGCATGGAGGGTTATCGCCCGACCGCCGACTCGCTGAATGGTCCTCCAGCCCCGATGGCCCGCCCCCCAACTTGGTCTGCCTCCTGTCTTTTGACTGGGCGAGCAACGACTGATCAGCCTCGCCTGTTCGTCACTTTGTGGGGGAGCTTTCGTCGCCTAGCAGTATGCCAGCCTTAGTGACGTTTCGTAGCGGAGAGTCAGGGGGGGGAGGCTAGCTGCTCTCGGCTCGGTTGTTGGACTGGCGGTTAGTGCACGTGATTATCTCGACGCATCAGAAAGAAAGTTCCAAAACGTCGCTGGCGTGCTGTCGGAGGCGCCAAAGGTATGCCGCTGGTCGGTCCGGTAGCTTCCAGACGGCTAGGATAAACGAGCAGCAATGTCACATCTCACTCCCCAAACCAGAACACTTTGTCTTAAGGACCGTGGCCGCTTGGCGTGAATGCGCGCAACCCAAACCCAAAGTAGCAAGCATAAACGGGTATCGCGGGCTCTAGGCCTCCTCCAAAAACCCGCCAAGATCGGTGCAGCAGAATGACTGGATCCCGAGATGAGCGCAAAACCGGTTTTGGGGGCAGTGTGTCACGGAGCACTTGCATGCAGACTGAAGCCTAGACGCCAACGAGTTCCCTGCTGACTGACTGCGCTAGAAGACGGTGAGAGCAAAGGAGGCAGGGCGCAAAGAGCAAAAGACGGCTTTGGGGGGGGGGGGCAGGAAGATTGGAGGACGGGGTGGGTTTTTGGCGAGGCTGGATGAGTCGGGATCAGCGTCGGCGAATGTTCTCACTCGATGATTCAAGCCGTGGCTTCAACGAGAGCTCATGGCTGCGCCGTAGTATGTCGTACCGTCGGTGTCAAGTGTTGCCCACAAGGAGCTTTCTGGTAAGTTGGAAGAGTATGTTTTTGTGGGAGTGGGTTGAGCCCCAGCCTTTGGGAACAACGAGCCACGGGGAGGGAACGCTCCATTGACTCGTGTATGTTGCTGTGTTGTGATCCGCAAGTTCGGAATTCTTTTTTTTCTCATTGCGAGTCGCGAAAACGAGCCTTGTCTCTGGGGCACTCTGTTTTTGGAGGGTGTGCGGGGGGGGAAAACCCAGCGTCCAGACGCATGGGTTTCAACTGGTGATGCTTCGCCGCGGAAGCACGGAAAGTGCACTGGGCGATAATCGCTGGCTCCCCACACCCTCGCAGATCGGATGTTAGGTGCTGGTATGAGAAGCCCGATCTGGTGGCGGGCTGCTTGGCTCGCACGACGACCACGACAATACGCAGGCCTGAAGCGCAGGCCGAAAACAGCCATGGGTATCGGCTGATTAGGAGTTGAAGCCACGGGGCAGACCGTTTTGTGTGCCGGCTTGGCAAGTGGCACAATAAAAGGTATGGGTCGGGCATTCGTGGAAACCTGAAGGAAAGGACGTTACTGACCGTATCCGTGTCGGCGCACACAGAGACCAAGAATGCTGCTGGCTGTCCGTCCGTGTTCTGTCTGGTCTGGCAGGGAGCTGGGCCGAAGGAGAGGAAGTCGTGGGCCTGTCATCGGCTCCGTTACACACGAACCAACTAGAGCTAGGCTGCCAGCCTTAAATGGTAGCCCGAAACGGACACCCGCAGATCCAGATCCAGTGTGCCGTCGCGCTGTGTCGTTCCTCCACTGATGACGCCGACTGAGGACGAGCAATGACGTAGGTGTAGGAAAGTAGTCGCCCCGCACGCGCAGGGACCGCATTAGTAGCGCAACCCCTGAAGCATCACCCGTCAGCTGCTCTGCGTCTGTTTCTGGACAAATGTCGAACGGTAGCAGCTCGAGACAGAGGGCCAAAAAGACCGTCTCCCCACCACTCGATCGATTTGCAAATGGCCAAGACGCCTGGTGAACTCCATAGACCATCGTCGAAAAACATCCTCTGTACTGCGGTGCTCGCTGCCGGCAAGTTCTGTCCAGTCTCACATCATCGCAGGCAAAAGGTTAAAGCCAGGGGATCCTGTCAGTGTCCACTCCAGGTCAATCTAGTCCGCCTTGTCCGCAGCGCTCGCTGTGTTGAACAACAATGGACGGTCACTGAACGGTGCTGGGGGGGCGGTGGGCTTGACAAGAAGAAATTTACTGGCGGGGTAACGTAGGAGCGTCCTTGCCTTCTTGTCTCGTCACGATACGCTAGGAGCTCCCACCAGTCCTGCACCCAAGGGAACCGATCTGCCCAAGTCCGAGGACGTTCATTTCGAACCCCCATGCTGAAAGCTGGGGGGTCACACATGCACGCGGTAGAAAGGGTAATATGCCCCAATGGGCCACACTGTCAAGCCCTGTGATCTCGCCTACGGCCTCGTCGCGAGCTAAGTGCGGCCGGAGGGATTGGTGAGCCTTGTCCGATTTAAAGACGTAGGGTACGAATGGATGTGATCGAATTACCGATAACAGATCAAGCCGCTGGGCGCCGGTCAGCGGTGTAGGCCCCCCAGTACCGCGGTTTGCTGTCTTTTGAGTCCCTCGAAAGCTGTCCAGGATGCGGCCGGGACCAGGGCTAGGATGACCGCATGCACTGTGTTCCACGGTCTGCTTCGCAACGATACTCGATGCTCCCACCGGGACCTGCTAGTCGAAGACATGTGGGTAAGGGGTGGAGGTGGATGAAGTTGAGGCTCCAAGCAACAGAGTTGCCAGCTTAGGTAGGTAGGTAGGAGAGGTTCACGAGGGCGGCAAGGGAGAACGGGTGCATCAAGCTGCTGCGCCTTGCCTGGTACTCAATGACCAGGTTCTATTTTGGTGAACTTCAGGGAAATATGCACTGACGAAGCAGAGCTCGCGCATGGTCAAGCCAGAAGGCAATGAGAGACGCAACAGAAGACGACAGCATACGACAACAACCAGGAAGCAAGTGGTGGGCAAGCGCAAGGGTCAGAGGAGATAGCATACCGACGATGCCCATCTCATCACAGAAGAAATGTGAACGAACAATTCTGATCCCCCTCCCGTTGCTTCCTGAACATTGTCGCCGGGAAGGTTCCAACGACGGATGAGATGAGTGGGGGGAACGGTCCGAGTGGGACAACGTCGAGAGCTTGTACTGTACCATCTCTACCTACCACCTAATAGCAGCTTTTAGCGCATGCTCATGTTCATGGATCATGGCGGCCGGGTCTAGGGCGGCTCGAGGCCCTTCCTTACCTTACCTATTCCCTTTCCTCCCTGTTACCCCTCTGCACCCCTCGGCGGGCTGTATCAGGCCGGGTAGATAATCTGGATGGGACCTCTCGAGCTCCGGCCGAAGCGTTGCCTTGGACCATTCCCTTTTCACTTTTCTGCTGCGACCACCGCGCCAACGCACTGCACCGCACTACGACTCGTCTGTCGACCCTGCAACCTGGGCCTGTATGAAGCTCTGTCGCAAGCGAACATTTCCTCCACTCTACCTACCTACCGCTGGCGACCAGGATCGCTCCATTGCGCAATTGACACATCACGCCCATTTTCGCCCTGTCGAAGAACCTCGCCGTCGCCCTTGATCACACGTGGACTCGAGCGAGAGAAAACGACACCCACCTTAGCTAAGGGAGGACAACATAAACGTCACTCAGCCTATAGCACCTGCCTTGTCGTCATCGCCGAATCCGTGCTTCCTTCCATACCTCCCTCCCTCACCTTAGGCACCATACCGACCACAGCCTTTTTCCATCTTCGCACAACAGCGAATCCAGTTCATTGCGTGCCAGAGAGAGATCTTCTCGGCAGAGCACATAAATCAAGAAAGAGGGCGTTATACTCTGTTGTCACCGGAACCAGAGGTAAGATTGAACTTTTCCGTGCTCCCCATGGCTACCCCCCATCTTGTACTTTTTCAGAAAGGGCGCCCACGAATTTGCCCAAATTACGTCAAAGCACCCCCACCTCAAAGCCCCTCATCCCGACAAAGCTTGTCACCTCACCTGGGACTGGGACTCACACTCAACTGCGGCTTGGGCCTTTAATTCATCCCACCACCACCCCGCGATTCGCAACAAAAAAGGAGAAAAAAAATTACCTGGACCTGAACCAGCCCCCGGGCGAAGCCCTAGCAACGGATCGCAGCCGCTGTCCCTTGTCATCGATCTCACCCATCCTTTCCTTGTCACACTGGTAGTCTCAACACCCTCGTCCTCGAACCCCAAACATCAATCGCAACGCGCGAGAACCCTTTGCTAGTCGATCCTAGTCGAACAAAAGCAGCCATCGCTCATCGCACCCCGGCCCATCGAGACAAGGTAGCTAAAGCAACAACAACAACAACCACCTAGTGGCGGTAGCCTGCGTCTAGCATCTTCCCATTCATCTCGCATCACATCGTGCGCGCGCGCGCATCCTCGAGTCCACCGTCCACAATCCACACGTCGCGCGCCAGCTTTTTGGGCACTCGTGCAGCAACACCAAGGCACTGCATCCAGTCACCGGCCGGCCCTCATACCCCATTCCCATAGGCTTGCACCCAAGCTGTCCCCCTGGATCCACCTTCCTGACGAGTCTTGTGTCTTTACATCCCCGTTTGGGTATTCTAATCATTCTTGTTCGTCACAGGTCTCTCCTCCTCCCTCCCAGTGCACACCGTACGCAGTACAGCCTCCCGTCGCTCCTCTTTACCCCCCTCCTCCACCCGTGTGTCCCCGTCTTCCAACCACTGTAAACGACGCCGCCTCCCCCTTCCAGCTCAGCCACGGATCATACCCGTGACCCCCCTCATCGAGAAGACGAAACCCCACGATAAGACAGGCGACCACAAACATCATAATGCCTGCCGCTGAAGTTGCCAACGTATGTGTGCACAGGTTTGCCTTGATCATCATCACCCATCCAATGGTGTGCCCTCAGTTCACGACTGACTTGTCTTTTTTTTTCTTGCACAGAGTGACGATGGGTCTCGTGACGATGCCCCTTCTGACGTTGTCGGTCTCGAGGACCTAGGTGACGCTGTCGACATGGCGACCTTCAATCAGATTCTCGAAATGGACGAACCAGGAGAGTGCGAGTTCAGCCAGTCCATCGTCGAAGGATTTTTCGAGCAGGCGGAGGAGACCATCACGTCGATGAAAGAGGAACTGTGAGTTGTGATCGTGAACCCTCCTCCTCTCTTCCCCTCCCCCTTGAACGCGACACCTTCCCACCAAGTCCTCCGAAACCCCTCAAAAATCCCCTTCCGCCCTGGCTACCCCTCCCCCTGGCGCAACCCGCGAGGGCTTCTGGCCCTTTCCCACTTGCTGGTCGATTTTCCCTCGATGCAAATCAGGCCCTGGGTGTTGCAGCTGACCAAGTCTTCTTTGGTGACCAGGGAGAACAAGGAGTTGGAAAAGCTGTCTTCCTTGGGTCATTTCCTCAAGGGCTCTTCGGCCACCCTTGGTCTGGTCAAGGTGCGAGACAACTGCGAAAAAATTCAGCGGTTCGGCAAGAAGGAGAAGGAGGATGGCTCCCCGCTGCTAGACGAGAAAGTGTGCCTCGAGAAAATCGCAGAGACCCTCAAAACTCTCGAGACGGACTACGCCGACGTCGAGCAGGTGCTGAAGCAGTACTTCGAGGGGCGAGCCGCAGCAGATTAACGAGCACGCCCTCGCCATCATCTGACGCCGCCCTCTCCAAGTCTCGGACCTTGTCACAAGCACTAGAAACCAAGGCCTTTGACGGTATTGAGGCAGAGAGGGCAGTGCCATTTTTTTTTGGACTCGGTGCCGCTTCCAAGCTTCCGGTCTAGAAGCGTAGTTGTGTCACCCGTCATCGCCGTTATCACCATCATCACCACCGCCGCCACCACCACCACCAACAACAAACAACGCCGTCAGCTCTTCATACCCCCCCTTTCGCGGACGCAAAGCAATTGGACAGGATTTCGAACAGCGTTGCATGGCAACTTGCCAGGTTTTTTGCGATAGCTCTCGGATTCAGACGGTCAACAGGACGCGCAAGACTTCTTTTGGGGGAAGAATGCAGCCAGGTTCACTGCTGTGACTAGGTATGCTTCAATGTGCAGTTTGCCACGAGCCAACTCCGCCACGTCCCAAGCAGGTCATTGCAGTCGTTACCGAATAGATCAACAATAGAACTTCACTCGCTTCCCACAACCCCAGGCAACGCATTTCTATTTCCAAGAATATATTTTTTTGTGAAAGCTAGCCTACTTGTGCAACAACTTGCGCAGGAAATCTTATGTATGGACTGACAACGAGACGATTAGCACGAGAAACTAAGAGACCTATGCGAAGACGCTGTCGACGCTTCGGGTGGCACTGCATGCTGGAGTAGAGAAGGCCCTCGAATGGAGACACGGAGTACGTGTCGCCAGGGTTGACATCATCTGACAACAGTGGGTGGGGGATCGGCGTCTTGTGCAAGTGTTAATGTTGACTCTGTTTTGAAACCCCGCACCAGATCCGGGCAAGCATACTATAGCCTATTGGTGAAGCCTGTGTCAACGTGCTGGAAAGCTAGGCAGATCCGAGCTTCAAGTCTGCATCAAACAATAACGATGCTTCAGTTTCTCTATGTGAGTCTAGAGTTCCTACCTGCCTAGGTACCTAGTTTGAGGACTCTTGATTTGATTTACGGTCACGTGCTAAGTCTACCCTACCGTACCTTCAGTTCTGACCATTTATTGGTCCTTTGCAATGAACCTTCCGCAAGGTTAAACCGCCTTTGGCCATTGCACCAAGACGGATGACAACACATTTCACCATGAATCTCGTCGTCCACCCCAGTAGATTGATTTGCCAACTTTGTACTGGTCCGTTTTGCAAGCACCTCCATTAAACCCGTTTGCCCGTCACACAGTATATCAACATGCCGCCCCGCCCGAACGCCAAACCGGCTTATACGCATTTTCTTTGTATTCCCCTAATCACACCAACCTCGAGATCACAAGTCTCGAGAAGCTTGGCCGCTTTCAAAACAGATGTCACGGATGCTGCCAGTTTCGACATCCCGGAGACCGCAGTCAGGCCCCTCGGCACCCTCCACCTCACACTTGGCATGTTGAGCCTTCCCAGCCACGAGAGCGTCCAGAAAGCGACTGCAGTTCTCCGGAGCCTCAACCCGCGCGCAGCCTTTGCAGACATCAAGTCGCTGTCCACTCCTGCGCCTCTCGCGACGCCAGCTCCACCGGCGGATCCCAGCGTGGAGCGGTTGCCGTTCCTGACTCTGAGGGGCCTGCATGCGATGCAGCGGCCGGAGCAGGCGACGGTGCTGTATGCTGCGCCTGAAGATGATCGGGGGACCCTGCTGAGGTTCTGCGAGAGGCTGCGCGATTCCTTCATTGACGCGGGCGTCATGGGGAGGGAAGAGAGGCCCCTGCTTTTGCATGCTACCGTCATCAACACGATCTATGTCAAGGGGGGCAGGGGGGGCGCGCAGGGAAAACGGGGGAAGAAGCTGATTCTGGACGCAACAGACATGGTGGCGCGGTATGAGGGGTATGTGTGGATGGAAGGTGTGCCTCTGGAGAGGATTGCAATCTGCAAGATGGGAGCGAAGGCGGTGGATGGTGAGGATGGGGCGGCGTACGAGGTCGAGGCCGAGGTCGGGTTCTAGGTTTGGCACGGCATCTCAGGGGTTGCGGGCAGAGAGAGGTCCATCAGATGTAGTAGAACCCGAAGCTTGCCGTCACCGGAGTACACCTCCTTCTATGCCGGGGCATCATTATGTTTATGGTACATAACTCGAAGAATTAATAAAATAGAAAATGCACCCCAAAGAGCCATTTGTTTCTTCTGGCTTACGTCGGCGGCATCGCTTCTCGCCGTGGCACAGTGTAGTTGACATGAGGCCAAGACGTGGTGCAGACATATTCCCTTAGACGGCACATGGAGCGGATACATGCATCACGAGACATATATTGCATCACCTCCCTATCACGATATCAGATCTCACCCCTCCAGGCAGCCACCGTCAGGTCCCCTCCTGAGGATCTAAACCGTGCCCCTGACACAGTGCTGATGGACAGCTAGCTACCTATCTTCGCTTGCACCACTGCAAGACGGGGTCCAACCCCACGACAGCATCCTTCCCATCGAACCCCTATCCGCCCCCCGATGCGAACTGGAACGCAGCATGCCGAGTCCGCGACACATGGCTCCGCCCCCGCCCCCATGACGAAAGAACGGAAGACGAACCGAATGTCATCCTCGGCTGACAAGCGCCGCAGCGCCGGCCCCGGCTCGCACATCCTCCGCACGGCCTCCACGCGCAGCGCCGCCAACCCGGTCGCTGGGAGCACCAAGGACGGCGCCGTCAACGCGGGCAACGCCGTCGGCGGCGGCAGCAGCAGCAGCAGCAGCAACAACAACATCATTGCCCCGCCGCCGAGGGCACAGCTCGGCGTGGCGAGCGTCGCGGGAGGGAGTCTTGTCCCGGGAGACGAGGGGCCGAAACCAGGAGACGCCGGCTGTGGGGCCGCGACGCAGAAGGAGCGGGAGACACACGGCGGGACCAGTGGCAGTGGCACTGGCACTGGCAGCAGCAGCACGAAGGAGGCGGACGGGCAGCGCATCGCGCTCCTCGAGACCGAGCTCGCGGTCATGGAGGACGAGTTTGCGCGCGAGCTGGACCGGCTGAGCCGCAAGGAGAGCGAGACGGCAACGTTCTGGCAGGGCCGCGTGGCGCGGGCGGAGGACAGGGCGAGGGCCGCGTGCGGCGAGATGGAGGCGCTGGAGGCGGAGTGCGTCGAGCTGCGGGCGCAGGTCCGGGGGTTGAAGGAGTTCGTGAGCACGAGTACGAGGACGGATGGGCAAAGCGCCACGTCTGACGAGGTTTTTGGAGAAGGGGCTGCACGGCTGGGCAACGGACTACAGAACTGGGTCATTGTGCATTTCCGCAGGGCCAAGATTGGTGAGTTCTTGCCCTGACCGGTCCTCCTTGGCTTTGGGTCGCCTGACTGCTTGACTGACTGGTTGGTGAAGATTTTGGCAAAGCGAGCGAAGACGAGTTGGAGGAGCTGGCAGCCTTAGTCCCGATGTATGAGGAGTTGGCGGCCGCGGCGAAGGTGCACCTCCTCCAGTCGTTCGTGTCTCGCGTCCTGGTCGAGATGGTCTTCGGGGCATACTTTGTTGGACTGTCCCCGGAGCAGGCTCGGCAGTTTCGCGACGTCGAGGAGACTCTGCGATCTTACAGCAAGTATCTTGACATCTCATGAGGTGTATGGCTGACTGTCTCCTCTCCTAGGTTCTGAAGAAGCTGTCAACCAGTGGCGCTCCACAACGCTGACCCTGCTGCGCCGCGAAGCCGGGGACAAGATGCACAGCGAGACGGACGCCGCTACGGAACGAGTCATTGAGCGCATCAACCGCGTCCTCGACGGCATCACCGACATCAAAACGACCGATGCACGAGATCAGGCCTTGAGGGCACTCATAGTCAGCGCCATTGACCTGGGCCGGTTGTTGGCCGTGCAGAAGGCAGTCTTTGGCGTCTTCATGCCGGAGATTGTGCCGCACCAGCAGACTATGTTTGACCCTGCAACCATGGAGGACGTTGGCGGTGAAGATGAGGAGACGCTATCCCAGCGGGACATATGCTGCGTCACCTTTCCAGGCATTATGAAGAGGGGCGATGAGACCGGGCGGATGTTGGCATACCGCAACATCATTGCCAAAGCGATGGTGCTGTGCAGTCCTGAATGACCGGCGTCAAGGGATGGAAGCGGGCGTATGAGCATTTACAGCGGCATCATCATAACAGATTAAGTATGAGCGAGTGACCACGATGATAGGTGGGCCCAGCGGAAGTCCTGGCAAACGTGGCATACTCATCAGATCGTGATATTGCCGGGTATTTACGCCTTCGCCCCAACTTCCAGAGCCTTTGTCCTTCCCAACCCCTCCTTCCCGTAGTAGTCCATCGGATATACCCCCTTGCCCCAGTCGTCCTTCACCTCCAAGGCGATCAAGGCCTCGTACGGCGTCAGCAGGGGTCTCGGAAAGGCATATCCCCAGTCGATGCTCAACCGTGGACACGCCACCTGCACCCAGCACTCAACGTCAGCCATCATGGCCAGCTTGCCGGGGAAGATCTCGCTCAGCAGCAAGTTGATCCACGGGATCCCTCGCTCCTTCAGCCTTGCCTCGATCAGCGCCATGGTGTGGGGGTTGCCCTGTCGTCCCAGCGAGCCCAGGATGAGACCCCAGCGCTTGGCGCCCTTGGCCGTCTTGATGGCGTCGCGCCTGAGCCCCTGCATCTCGTCGTGGCCGTACGTCTCGCGCGTCAGCTTGCGCGAGTAGGGATCGTAGCGGTACGCGGGGATGGAGGGGTTGTGAATCATGATGCTCTCGAGGTGGAAGCGGCCGTCGCCGAGATACAAGATCATGTCGACGGCGTCATCGTCTTTGAGGCGGGGCGAAGTACAGCCCAGGATCTCGCCTTTGCTGAGGGGCGCAATTTGGGGCACGAGCACGCGGAAGCCGGCCTTCTCAAGGGAGGACTTCACGCCGTGAATGGTGGCGTTGAACTGAATGGTTCCCACGACGGCCATGGTCTTGCCCGAGGCAAAGTTACGCTCCAGAGACGCGAGGAGGTGCTGGGTGTCGATGGAGATGTCGACAAAGACGTACAAGGTCTTGATCTTGGTGACATCAACGGGAATGAGGCAGCTGTGGGCGTAGTGCACAAGAAGATCACAGCCCAAGGCGCGGGCCGTGTAGTCATCGATGCAGCATGCGCCGTAGGTAACGTCACCCATGATGAGGGTCTCGATGCCAGGGCAGAACTCGGTAAGGATGTCGGAGATGGTGGTGGCGAAGAGTAGGAGACCCTCGGGCATCTGTAGGGCAATCTTCTTGGCGCCCGAGGTTCGAATACGATGCACAGTCTTGTGAATCTCGAAGCTATAGTTGGAAGGGAGGAGAGCGATGGCGTCGTTGAGGGCGGAATCCTTGAGGATCTCGGGGGGGACCTGATTCAGTAGACGGGGCCCACGCCGGGGCTTGGCCACTTGTATTGAGCCCGAGTCTTCGATCGAGGCTTCTGTCGATGAAGCATTCTTGGCTGCAGCCTCGGCGGCTGTCCTGCGACCGACGAACCGCTTCTTGGGTTGTTTGACCACAGGTGCCTCGTCTTCTGCTCGCTGCCGTTGAGATTCTTCAATGTCGGCGGCGATGCCGAGATCTGTCAACGCCCGGTCTTCTTCCATATTGAAGCAAGGCCTCCAGTCCAGTTGAGTTTAGATCCTGCCAATGATGATAACTTCTCCCGTACTATCCAGGACGGTGAACGGGTATCGAAGACGTGGAGCGCCACTGGGTATGGCACTTATACTGCTGATGAGTCGAGTGAGAGGAGATTTGTTGCCCCGCGGCAGTCCAGGGCTTTTGTGTATGGCTTAGATGAAAATTTGGAGGGGCATATCAGGCCTCGATATATGCACGTTGGAGGCACCTCGCCTATCGTCATGATGCCACACGTACCCTTGTATCGAGTGGTCAAAAGATCCGCTAAGGTAATGTGCGCCAAGGCACGATCAGCTCAGCTCTTCACAGCGGCTCTAGCCTAGGCCACTCAACCGTCAGCACTCCCCAGGGATCCTCTCAGGCTGACAGGGCTGATCCTGCTGCCTCGTGCAAAGTGCCTTACGGGGACCTGTAGTGGGGACGGAGAGTGCTGAGCCTGAATGCCAGTGGTCAACGTGGGTGGGTGCAGCCTTCCCTCTTCCCCCCTCCTCGTATGTCTTGTCTTAGCCTGAAGCTCTTGAAGGAACGTCTGCCAGGAACCCGTCCAGCCATCGCCAGGCAGCAGAATAAGAGAGTAGCAACAGCTCGCGACGGCCTACCCACCTCTTTCGTCACTAGACGAGGCCTCCTCGGCCGATTTCTTGACCTGGGACACCTCCCCATCCGTCTTCTACCCTGTCCTCGTTGTTCCTGATCTTGTACCTCTTCTTCGTCTGCCCTGCATCGTGCATCCTTGTACCTGCAATAACCCCGCGATTCGCACTACGGCAAAACCCGTCTGGCCTCATCTCTCATCTGGCCTCATCACGTCGGTCAAACCCAAATCGCAGCATCGACACAACCGACGCGACAAATCCTGGCCTACAACACTGCATCGCGCGACTACAATAACTCGACCTCTCAGACCTCCAGATTATGGTGTGGTCCAGGTAGTCGAATTCGAGCGTTCGGCCTCCGCCATCATGAGTCTCAATCTCCCCATTCGAACGAGCTCCAGCAGTCAGCGAAACCAGGCCAGCAGAAACTACTTTACGAACTATACCCCACCCTCTTCGACCGAGGCCATCAATGGCCCCGTGAGAGAGCCTGCGAGGGAGCTTCTTCCTCCTGCTGACCGTCTCATCGTTGGCGTGGACTTTGGCACCACTTTCTCAGGGTGAGTCTCGCTATGGTTGCGCGCCCACACGGCCATCCTTCGACGGACATGCTTATGAAGGCGCGTGGCTGCGAGCCCTCGCTAACGCTCATCGCAGAGTCGCCGCAGTCTACACTGGTACCCCCGATGACATTGAGATCATCAAGACATGGCCAGGAGGCAACGGCATCACCTCCGACAAGGTGCCCACCGAGATCGCCTACACGTTTCCCTCTACTCCAACCTCGCCTTCCGTGTCATCCTCGTCGACTCCCACGCCAGCATCAGGCCCAGGTCAGACGCCAGCATCTCAGTCAGGCTCCGGCGGTGAGGGGAATCCGACAATCAAATGGGGTTTCCAGTTCCGCCCCGAGGAGTCGCGCCTCCGTTGCATCAAGCTCTTCCTCGATCGGTCTCAGAAGCTTCCCTTCTACGTCTCCCCCCTCGACACGGCCGCACAGCTGCGCAGCTATGACAAGACTGTCATCGATGCTGTGAGCGACTATCTCACACAGATCTACGCCCACACCATGGACACCCTGACGAGGCGCTATGGCGAGTCCTTCATGGCCTCGACCAAGGTCGATTGGGTGCTCACCTGCCCCGCTGTCTGGTCCGACGCGGCAAAGAACACGACGCTGCAGGCCGCTGAGCGGGCCGGTATGGGCGAGAAGTCCGAGATCCAGATGATCAGCGAACCCGAAGCGGCGGCAGTTTACACGCTCAAGGCCATCCAGCCGAACCACCTGAATGTGAATGACAATTTCATTGTTTGCGATGCTGGTGGCGGAACCGTCGAGTAAGTCTTTTGCGATGCGTGGAAGGTCGAAATCTGACGTGTACGTAGTCTCATTGCCTACAAGATCATGTCTCTGAACCCGCTTCAGGTCGAAGAGTCGGCTGTCGGAACGGGTGGTCTATGTGGTAGCGCTTTTCTGAATTACAGATTCGAAGAACACGTTCGCAATCGCATCGGACACAGCCGTTTCGATGAGATGAAGGTCAAGAAGGGGAAAACTTGGCAGATGGGACTGCGCTACTTTGAAGAGTTTGTCAAGCGCAACTTCAACGAAGACGAGCACCATGAAGTCAACGTACCGTGAGTGGCGCTCCCCCCAACAGAGTTGAGCACTCTCTGATCCATCGCAGCTTTCCCGGTCTCCCCGACGACGAAGAAGCAGGCCTCGATTGCGGCTTCCTCGTCATGACGGCCGAACAGGTCAAGGACATCTTCGAGCCAGTTGTCAAGGAAGTATGTGACCTCGTCCAGGGCCAGGTTCGCGACCTTCGCTCCAAGGGCGGTATCGTCTCCGGCATCATCCTTGTCGGCGGCTTTGGCCAGAGCGATTATCTATACCGTCGTCTCAAGACGCATTTCGCGAGCGCTGCCCCGCCCCCCTACACCGAACGCCCGACACACGCCACGGCCACGGCCCTCACCGAGGCTGGCTCCATCGAGGTCATGCAACCCGTCTACGCCTGGACAGCCGTTGTACGAGGCGCCGTCCTCCGTGGTCTTGAGGGCAGCATGGTCATATCGCGCAAGGCCCGCATGCACTACGGCACCTCGTATGCCACAGTCTATGACGACGAAAAGCACTCCGTCAGCGAGCGCTACTGGTCACCTTTGTGGGAACGCTGGATGGTCTCCGATCGCATGCAGTGGCACATTGCCAAGGGCGAGGCCATCTCACCTGTGTCTCCCATTGCTTTTCACTACACGCGCAACTTCCGCCCTGGACAAAGCCTTGTTGTCACGGACGATCTCATCGCGTGCGAGGCTGATGAGCCGCCGGTCGCTTACGGGCGGGATCTCGTCAACGTGTGTACACTAACGACGGACCTCAACGCCGTGCCGCGAAGCTTATTCACGAGGCTGACAACGACGAGGGGTGTCGAGTTTGACAACCTCGACTTCACGCTAGAAATGATAGTCGACAGCGCAGGTCTCGGTTTCGAGCTCAAGGTCGATGGCGTCCGATATGGACGTGTAGAGGCAGATTTCCACTGAATGCAAGGGTAAAGAGAGACGGGGAGGAACCATATATACGCTGTTGGAAGGAAGATCTGCTTTGAGACCATGATAGCGTCGTACGTAGGCATTTGATGGAGTTGCCTGGAGGCTTACTGCCTTACTATGATATCATGAATGAGAATATACTTCTTTTAACGCTCACTTTGGGCTTCTCGACTGATATGTCACTGGAGTTTGAATACTTGCTGACTCTTTCTATCCTGCCTTGGGAAGTTGCTGCCCTTTCTCTTCCAGCCTCTTGTAAGTTGAACCAGTTTCTGGGCGCTGCTTTGGATGACTGTCTGCTGTAGCAATTCACGGCGGCTTTCATGCACAATGATCCACTGACGATAACTAGCTAGGGAGCCTTTGAAACCCTAATCTATCTTCGCAGTGGACGTGGCTTCTCAGTACTTTCATCTTCTCAAATATGGTCCACATGGTGGTTTGGTTGAGACTCGTCCTGGTAGCCATTGTGCGGGTCATACATCAAGGCTTTGCTGACCACAAAAAGCGGCTCGACTATGACCGGACAGCTTGCTCTCAGCCATGGACGACTCAAAACAGAACGGCTGTAAGTTAATACCTTGTAATTTGTTTCAGCTGACCACATGAGTTGAAAGCTCATCCACAAAAATAGACACTGTGGCCCGGCTTCCCGAGAGAGGCCATGTGATGTATGCACTCCAGACGGCACTGGAGGGAGGCTCACCCACCGCACGCTGGAAATAATGAATGAGGATTACTGGCCAAGAAAGCGGTGAGTGGATGAACAAGAGATATCACACAAAGTCAATTGACCCTGATATTTGTGCCAGTATATTGCTCTACCGTCTGAGCTCCTTGTCCACTTCGGGAGAGGCTATGAAGCGACCTAAAAAGCCAACAGAATAGGCTTGTAGCCAAGCCATAACTCCAGAGCGAATCAAGACCATGTTACACTGGTTACACGGACAATATTTAAAGCCTGATGTATAAGCCAGAGACTGAACAGCGGGGACGTACATAAGTATGCCTGGCCCCCGCGTGGCTGTCGCGGGGGTGGTTCCAGTCTCGTGGGTTGGAGCTGGAATCTGTTCGAGACCTCTTCACGTGATGAGAAGGCTGTATTCGCGGGAAAGACCCACAGGTGCAGAACCGGCATACGACCCGCACGCATCCTAGTAGGCCCGCCACAATTGTCCTGAGTTAACCATTGGCGATTTGCAAACGGACGTCGGCCCCACCGAAGCACCAGGCCCCCCACCTTCAGTCGTTCGTGGCCCAGCAACCCAAGCTCCCTTGCTCGGTGCCTAGGTACCTACTTGTAGGTCGAGGCGGTCAGACTTTTCATCGCCTTTCTGGAAGCGTCCACCAAGGAACGTAAAAGACAATGGCACAACAGAATCTCACAAAAAAAAAACGCCTGCGCAGTGAATGCAGAAGCTTAATGCAACGAACAAGCCGGGACATGGCCGTAGGGAAACAAGGGCAGAAAAAAATAACAATTCACTAACTGTAGAATGCACCAGAAGCACCAAGAGAGCGCCAAATGATATCACCCAGTCTGAGATTTCAATGAGGGGCTGCTAAAGTTGGGCTGATGACGATGGCGGGGTTGGAATGTTCATGTCAAGGTACTTTGATTTTGCGTGCAGGGAGTAGGAAATGAATGTACCAGCTGTAATACCCCGCCTGAGCCACCATGATGTCAAGGGAAGCTCGCACTGAGCTTCAGAATTGGTCCACAGGTGCTGGAAGTGTCCAGCATTACCAGGACAATGTCAGAGAATTCCAAAATATCGCCTCAATGTGCTCCGTAGTCTCCGCAATATGACACAAATCCCTGTGACAGTTTTCTGGGCCTGAAATCGGGGAGAAAGAGGGCAGTTTCCTGAAGCTGCTCGAATGCGCATTGGTGGGGCAACCTTGGAAGTAGAAAGAACGCTGTGGAAGGTTGGGCGCTGCACCCGAAACTTTTAAATCCTCGACGCTGCCAACCGCTACACTTACCCTGACCACTTTTCATCAACAACACAAGCAACCACTCAACCAACTTCCTCTTTCCTCCATTCCACCTTCTGAATCAGCCTTTTTCTTGTTCCTTGATACCCAACCCCTTCTCTCCACATCCCGCACATATTCACAACCGCAGCCATGGCGACTCCTGGCAAGGCCGTCGGTATCGATCTTGGGTAAGCTTTTTTTCACGCAGTTGCCTCCTGGCGCACGAGACACAGAAGTTAACTTTTTACCACAGTACCACGTTTTCGTGTGTTGCCGTCTACTCTAACGACAAGTGCGATATTATCGCCAATGACCAGGGTAACCGCACCACTCCCTCCATTGTCGCTTTCAACGACACCGAGCGTCTCATCGGAGATGCCGCCAAGAACCAGATGGCCATGAACCCCCACCACACCGTCTTCGACGCCAAGCGCCTGATCGGCCGCAAGTTCCAGGACTCTGAGGTCCAGGCCGACATGAAGCACTTCTCCTTCAAGGTTGTCGAGAAGGCCACCAAGCCTGTCATCGAGGTCGAGTTCAAGGGCGAGACCAAGCAGTTCACTCCTGAGGAGATCTCTGCCATGGTCCTCGTCAAGATGCGTGAGACCGCCGAGGCTTACCTCGGTGGCGCCGTCACCAACGCTGGTATGTAACTCGCAGCACTCTGCCTCTACTGCTTCCAAACTGATACTAACATCATGCTCAGTCATCACTGTCCCTGCCTACTTCAACGACTCTCAGCGTCAGGCTACCAAGGACGCCGGTCTCATCGCCGGTCTCAACGTCCTTCGTATCATCAACGAGCCCACCGCCGCTGCCATCGCTTACGGTCTCGACAAGAAGGTTGATGGTGAGCGCAACGTCCTCATCTTCGATCTCGGTGGTGGTACCTTCGATGTGTCTCTCCTGACCATCGAGGATGGTATCTTCGAGGTCAAGGTAAATAGTCCCCCTTTATCTCTTTGCTCATGGACATTCTGCTAACGAATTACAGTCCACTGCCGGTGACACTCACCTGGGTGGTGAGGACTTCGACAACCGTCTCGTCAACCACTTCGTCAACGAGTTCAAGCGTAAGCACAAGAAGGACCTGTCCGCCAACGCTCGTGCTCTCCGCCGTCTCCGCACTGCTTGCGAGCGTGCCAAGCGTACCCTCTCTTCCTCCGCCCAGACCTCCATCGAGATTGACTCGCTGTACGAGGGTATCGACTTCTACACCTCCATCACTCGTGCCCGTTTCGAGGAGCTCTGCCAGGACCTCTTCCGTTCCACCATCCAGCCCGTCGACCGCGTCCTGTCCGATGCCAAGATCGACAAGTCCCAGGTCCACGAGATCGTCCTCGTTGGCGGTTCCACTCGTATCCCCCGTGTCCAGAAGCTCATCACCGACTACTTCAACGGAAAGGAGCCCAACAAGTCCATCAACCCCGATGAGGCTGTTGCCTACGGTGCTGCCGTCCAGGCCGCCATTCTCTCTGGCGACACCACCTCCAAGTCCACTCAGGAGATCCTGCTTCTCGATGTCGCTCCCCTGTCCCTCGGTATCGAGACCGCTGGTGGCATGATGACCAAGCTCATTCCCCGCAACACCACCATTCCCACCAAGAAGTCTGAGGTCTTCTCCACCTTCTCTGACAACCAGCCTGGTGTGCTCATCCAGGTCTACGAGGGTGAGCGTCAGCGCACCAAGGACAACAACCTTCTCGGCAAGTTCGAGCTCACTGGTGTCCCTCCCGCGCCCCGCGGTGTTCCCCAGATTGAGGTTACCTTCGATGTCGATGCCAACGGTATCATCAACATCTCCGCCGTCGAGAAGGGCACTGGCAAGTCCAACAAGATTGTCATCACCAACGACAAGGGCCGCCTGTCCAAGGAGGAGATTGAGCGCATGCTTGCTGAGGCCGAGAAGTACAAGGAGGAGGACGAGGCTGAGGGCAACCGTGTCTCTGCCAAGAACGGCCTCGAGTCTTACGCCTACTCCCTGCGCAACACCCTGAGCGACCCCAAGGTTGAGGAGAAGCTTGACGAGTCTGACAAGACCACCCTCACCGCTGAGATTGACAAGTGCGTCGCTTGGCTCGATGAGAACCAGCAGGCCACCAAGGAGGAGTACGAGGACCGCCAGAAGGAGCTTGAAGGTGTTGCCAACCCCATCATGATGAAGTTCTACGGTGCTGGCGGTGCCCCCGGCGGCATGCCCGGTGGCATGCCCGGTGGCGCACCTGGCGGTCCCGGCGGCCCTGGCGCCACCCACGACGACGGTCCCACCGTCGAGGAGGTCGACTAAATTGATACCCTAAGCACTTTCATTTCCTAGAGTGGTCACGCGACGGATCTCACGGCACGGACGAAGTTGGGGTTTCATGACTAGACATTGCTTTCTGCGTTTTCACGATTACGACTACGGAAAAAGCACGGTTCTCAGTTTGGTTGTACTTTAATGAATCTCGGTGTTGCCATATGCAACCCAATACAAGGAGTTAAAACACATAACTGCTTTTGACTACTGCGTGCATGCTCTGATAACGCGAATAGTGCCATTCCCTTTGGTGCAATAGCTTTCACGCTTCCATACACCATGGTTTGGGCCAATGAATAATCAGAGAAGAGACATCCGTGTATATCATTAAATTTCTGTCGTGACCCAGGCTAATAATTCGCAGCCCTGTATGGTCGACTCTCCCAACTAGACCTTAGCACCCTCATCAATTCCCAGCTGCCGTCTAATCTTCCTTCGCCTGTCCATCTCCGCCTGTTGCCATTCTTCGTCACTGACCTTGGCATCCTCTAGTGTTGTAGAGAAAGCCGTCTCGGGCGCGAGCCTTGTCGGTCTCGCCTTCCACACATCCTCACTACTGGGCTTGCCGGCGCCATATTTCTCGTGCTCCTTCTTCCGATAATGCTCTCGGATCGCTTCTTCCTTCAGCTTGCCGGTGTACCCTTTGACACGCATGCAGAACCAGAAGTCATCCCAGCTCTCGCTGCACGAGCGCATTGAGCCCTCGCGGTAAATGGCGTTCCACTGCCCGCCGATCGACTGGCAGTGGAAGGCCATGTCGAACGCCTGGCGACAAGACATTTCTGACGGTAGGAGAGATTCAGCCACGGGGTCGAGCTTGGGGGCTGGCGCTGCGGCGTTGCGCGTCTCTACTTGTGATGGCGAGGTTGCTGAAGACTTCAGTGTGAACCAGGAGGAGGACGCTGTCGGCTGTGTTTCGGCCTTCGTTGATTGCTCGGGAGCTGTTGGCTCTGACTCCCTTTCCGCCTTGAACAGATCGAGGAATTTCTGGATCTCGGGGTCAACATCGCTGCTGGCAGTTTCCGTTGAGGCTGGAGCAGCCGTTCTCGAGGCGCTCGTCGCGTTATCTGTTGGAGGAGTAGGAGTTTTCGGAGGGGATGGTGTTGCCCATAGCCAGCCCATGTTGATTGATGATTGATGTTGGTTATACAGATACGATGACTTGTAGTGCAATGGATTGTACGGGAGATAGGTGTAGCTCCTTGTACGTCGAAAGAGGGGTAAAGCGTATCACAGAGTCTCGTGGTCACGAATGTGAACCCTCCAACTCAAGATCACGGATTGGACGACATGACTCTTGGCATGCAGCGCAGATGCACGGGGCGGATTAACTCCGGGACCCGCTTGGAAGCTGTGGTGGGGGCTGCCCGCGACCGTGGGATAGCCGATGACCTCATTCACATGAATGATCCGAGGAGCTAAGCTGAGCGCGTTCGCGTTGCCAATTTGCGAGCGTTTCCAGCTCCCCCAGGACATGCGTCTTCAACCTCGATCTGTGTGGTATGATGTCCAGCAACCCAATACGAAATGATACCGAGTAGATTCATGGGACGGCCACTGGCCCGGCCCAACATACCGGTTTTGCGACACTCGCAAGTAGTACCTCGATCCCACGTCGCAAGGTTTCCATTGGGAGTACCCAGTGCAACACCTATAGCACGTGCTTGGGACAGTACTTTAACAGGCAAAGAGAAATCCGGCCACATCACCGCGGCTCAGGACGAATCCATTCTTTTTTTCGATAGTTAGTTTACCAGGGTACTTCTCGTGAGGCTTCCGACGCTAACAGTGCTTCACAATAGACCTCTTTCCCCTCAAGCTGAGCTTCCTTTTCCGACGACCATGGCAGAGCGATGAGGACATTGCCGATCTCCTCAAGCGTTTTGACAGTTCAAGCTTGGGTCTGCTTGACCCGATCAATCTCGTCAAGAAGGCCATTCCTCAAGACATACCCATGAAGGTCACGGAGATCCTCCCTCGATTGAAAGATGGCGGTGTTTTTGTCAAAGTCAGTCATGGACCGGAAGTCTCCGCAAAAGACCTCGAAGGTAGAATGGGCTCTAGCTTTTCAATTCAGGCATGTGACTGACAGTCTATAGATTCTTTGACGAAGAAACTCGAGGCAACACCCATCAAACCTTGGTTTAATCCCTTTCGCGGCGTCAAGTTGGGCCTCGTCAAAGGTGCGCCTTGGTTAGAGGATCTCTACCGCTTCCCGAAGTCAAGACTCAAGGTTGAATTTACACCCAAGGACCCTGGAGGTGAAGCCGTCGAGCTGTCGCAAGAAGAACTATACAGTCTGTTCCGGAAATATGGCAAAATTGCCGAAATCACCTCACAACCCAACGACTCGAAAGTTTTGCCCAAGTTCGCCTACCTCGACTTTGCGCTTATCAGGGACGCAATCATGGCCAGGAACTGCTTGCACGGATATCTCGTAGGCGAAGCACTCGGCGGCGGAAAGTCTGGCACCAAGCTGCGTCTCTCGTATGAACAGAAGGTGAAGGCACACAGCATCTGGAATTGGATCTCTAGCCACCCAAGACTGGTGATTCCAATTGTTCTAGGATTGGTCACTGCTATCACGGTTGCCATTTTTGACCCCATCCGACAGTTCTTTGTCAAGGCGCACATCCAGCGGGCCTTCCGCTTGACTGACAGCAGACTATATCGATGGGTCAAATCCCAGACCACAGACCTGCTTTCTTTTGGGCACAAAAAGGCAGACTCTGCAGGATTTAGCGCCGTGTGGAACCACCGCCGAGACCTTATCGAACAAATCCAGAATTGGCTAATGGAAAGCTCCGACACATTCATCGTTGTGCAGGGTCCTCGAGGCTCCGGCAAAAAGGAGCTTGTATTACAACAGACTCTTGAAGGGCGCAAGAATGTCCTGGTGATCGACTGCAAGCCGATCGTGGAAGCTAGGGGCGAGGGTGGCACAATCAAAAACATGGCTACTGCTGTAGGATATCGTCCAGTCTTCTCATGGGCAAACAGCATGAGCAGCCTGGTCGACCTGGCTGTACAGAGCACGACTGGAGTGAAGTCTGGCTTCTCCGAGACCCTCGAAACCCAGGTTGTCAAAATACTCCACACAGCGGCGTCGGCACTCAAAGATGTTTCACTTGCAAGTCGACACAAGAACGATAAAGATGCCGACCTTTCGGATGACGCGTACCTCGATGCCCACCCCGAAAAGAGGCCTGTTGTGGTCATTGATAACTTCCTGCACAAGAACGAAGAGTCCAGCATCATCTACGAGAAGATGGCCCAATGGGCTGCTATGCTTGTGCAGAACAATGTGGCTCACGTCATATTCCTCACAAACGACACGTCGTACTCGAAGTCGCTATCGAGGGTGATGCCTGACAGGGTGTACAGACAGGTTGCCCTCGGTGATCTCTCCCCGGACGTGGCCAAGAAATTCGTCGCGAGCCGTTTGGAAGTTGACGATAACGAGAAGCAAAAGGACAGCGACGGCGAGAAACAACATGAGACCCCGCGGTCCGACCTCTCAGAACTTGACGACTGTATAGACCTTCTTGGCGGTCGCCTTACTGATCTCGAGTTCCTGGCCCGGCGCATCAGAGGTGGACAGAGCCCGAAACACGCAGTCGACGACATTATCAACCAAAGTGCAACCGAAATCGTCAAGATGTACTTGCTCGGCGGCAAGGTTGATGCTGAAGAAAGGAAGTGGTCTACTGAGCAAGCTTGGTACCTCATCAAATCGCTTGTTGCACAGCAAAGTCTACGTTACAACGAGGTCTTGTTATCGGATACATTTGCATCCTCGCAGACGTCGAGGGCAGCGAGTGGCGAGTTGGCGCTTGAGAGCCTGACCAACGCCGAGCTCATCAGTGTTAAGACGCATTACGGCAGGCCGCAGACCATCACGGCTGGCAAGCCCATGTACCAGGCAGCATTCAAAGTGCTCGCTGGTGACCCCGTGCTGAGGGCTAAGATGGATCTTGCTGTGTTGACAGAGATGGCCAAGGTCGAAGCGAAGACAATCGATAAGGTAGAGAACGAGCTTGCACTATTGGGGGCACTTCCCAAACAGCCAGCACAGGCGGGAGCCCGAGTCGAGTACCTGCTGAACAAGCTTGACAAGAGTCAGAGGAAGATTGACGGATACGACAAGGAGATGGTAGGACTGAAGAAAGTCCTCTCGCAAGAATTTTGAGACTTTGAGGTGCAACAGAACTCCTTGGAAACCCGACTCGTAAGAAGACCACTCAAACAGGTATACCTGGCAGTATTACACGAGGACAGCCAAATATAATCGATACCCTTAGTAAAAACAATATCCGCAACTCGAGCTCTTCGGCTCGTAGTGCGAAAGTGACTGAATGACGTCAGGTCTTATCGTAGCCTGGGTACAGCTAGCCTGCCCCTCGCTAAGCCTCTTCGGGGCATCCAGATAAGGCCGACCAGCACCTTGAGGTTATACTTACCTGCTTTACCTGATACGTGAGAAAACTCAAGAAAGACAACGGTAGCTGAGCAGCTGACAGAGTTCTTGAACAGATATCCACCCGAAGAAGTTGAAAAACTACCCTCGTCTGTCGACTGACGATGGGCTGGCCAGGGGCACAGTTCTCGACTGGACACCATGGTAAAATCCTGTTGTCTGGCGTCTTCAATTTATTCTTACATGCCTTTTGCACTACAAGGACGGCTCTCTTTCTCAGATGTGGTCATGAAAGCATCTACGCTGTGGATCATCATCCATAAATTGGACGCATGTAGGCTGTCTGGCTATCGGTTTACGGACATCATGCGGGCTGGGATGCTAGAACGCGTCGCGTACCAAACGAACAGTATGTAGTAAGGAGCATTGACGGCAGCTGAAAGTTGTAGTGTCTGTGGTTTGAAGAGAGGCCCTCCCTCGAGAAGACTCTGGTATTTTGTGCTGCTCCCGACATTGCCGTGTGATAAAAGGAATGATTTTGCTGCTGTTCCAGTTGCGGATGTCCCGAGGGGCCATGTCACTCTTCACATTCCAGATGATTGCGTTTTACAGTGTTCGCCCTCATCGAAGCCCCACTAGAAAGGGATGTTCCCTCTGGTGTAATGAGTGACTGAGGGCGGTAGTGACATATCCATTGCATGTTGGTGTCAGTACCTCCATTCGGTTTCTCTGCGCCCAGGTTTTTGGAGCGTCGCAACTTGGCTTGATAATCCCAGGATATTCCGTTTTGCGCAAGACTATCGACAAGTCAGATGAAGTGCATGTCCTCTTCGGCACGAGGAAGACTGAGGAGAACTGTGATGGCCATCTTAACCGCACCACCTCAAAGGACGACGCCCCCCACATGTCTGGTTAAGGCATCTCAGTGGAGGTGAGAAGACCACGGAAGAATACGAACATGGAGGTGGACCGGGTGACAGCTGGCACCATCTGGCAAAGGTTCTGAACCACGTCAACCTCAGTACCACCTACACTGCACGGGCGCCAAAAGGCGGGCAGTTTGTCAGACGTTGGACCTCTGAGCATCCATCGGTCAGGAATTACGCAAGGACCCACTGTATCGCGACGGATCTGTCTACCGGGCTGCCACTGCCACTGTTGGCACCACTGAAGTTACCTCACCGCGCCTACAGCCACAGTCCGCGCCTGCCTGCAGCTTTCTGCTTTTTCCACCAAACCCAAACACCACCCTTCCCCTCCGACCCAACACTGATCGTCCTCCTATCGCGGCAGATTACTGCAATACGAAGCTGATCCTGCTGCTACCAGGGTCTTCTTTTTTTCATTCGTATCGCATCTGCTTTCTGGCCCTGCCTGCTAGTCCATACGTCGGGCGATTCACAACTCTTCGCGCGACTAGTACTTGCACTGCAGCGCTTCGAGCTTGCCTGTCTGATCCAAGCTCTCAAGCGATCCGGACCACCGATTCGACCACCCTCCGTTTCTGCAACGACATAGTCCATGACCGGTAGTTGATACATTTTTTTCCAACGAAGTGCATTTCCCCCCGGTCTCTCGTCTCAGATACCCTGACGGCCTACTCCGCATTTCCTTTGACCGCTCGACTACATCTGTTCCTTCCAGGTGATCAGCGAACGAGGCTGCACTCGCGACCACGGGCATTCTTCCTCCCCTCCCACCTTCTCAGCCTTGTCGGCTCATCACGGATCCCCACGCCACACTCGGAGCTGTCCAAGCACTGGACACTCCTCTACCGGAACAAGCTGTCGTCTCCAGAATCACATTACGGCCTGTAGCGGTGGGGGAGCATTCGTTTAACCTCGCGGCTTGGCCGCCCCATTTCTGAAGATGGGGAAAATCACCAAGACGATGCAGCCGAAGCATGAGGAGACTCTTGTGAGTCAAGTCTGAACAAACCCTTGCAACATGAGCTAATCAGTTTCTAGTCTCCTTGGCTCAAAGACTTTGTGCAGTCGGCTTGCACATTACCACTTCCACTTCTCCCCGACCACATCGCCACCTTCCCAACACGATGGCCGTTCCCACGGGGCGACCTCTACCACTGGATCCCGCTACTCAACCGGTTCGACAATATTCTCGAGTGCTTCAGTGTCACATACAAGTTGAACGAGGGCCCTCAAACCGGTGATCTAGGCTGCGAGGTGTTACTTCATCGAGGCCTCAAAGTGGAAGAGTACGGCACGGAGGTATGGGATATGGACCGGCTGCGCAAGCAGGGCTATGGCGAGCAAGGTGACCGCCAGCTCATCGAGGCCATCCTCAAGTTCACGCGTGTCCTGCTGGAGCATTGCGGTAACAGAAGCATTTATGCCAGCAGCAACCACTTGAACGACCTCCTTCATGCTACAGACCTGTCCGTCATCATCGCAACCCTCGGAGTCGGTTCCGAGCTGGCCAAACGATACCAGGCCTCTGTCAAACGCATCGGAAGTCACTCCCGCCATGTCAGCACTGCACTGCTGGCTAACCACTACAATATTGCCCTCGAGCGTGTACAGCTATTAGCCTCCCCCTTCGTCAAGACTCCTCTCATCTCCCTATCCGATGCTGCTGCATCTGCTACACCCGGTTCCGCTGCCAAGGGCAAGGATAAGATCCACACTACTGGGCAGAAGAACGCAGCACCCATGTTTGCCAACGATCTCAGTGCCATCGTCAACTCGGAACCTGGTCAATGGAACGGCTGGGGTGACATCAAGATCTCGTACACTGCCGTTACAGACACCAAAGACCATCCATTTTCCAGTGCCGTGGATCGTACCTCTGCTGGGACGAACCTGCCAAGCACACCAACACCTTTGCGGCGCAGTACTACGATGGGTGGTACTGCTCAACAAACCCCGAGGTCAGCCCGGCAAGTACCAGGCGACGAAGCCTCGCCTTCTACCGTGTCTCGCTCTCCTGCCCCAGTAAGCGAGCAAGCCACATCCAGCCAGAAGGTGTTTGATCTGCCGCAGTCTGTGGTGGCGTCGTCTTCTATCTACGACCTACTTGCCCGCTGCCCTGCCGATGCTCCACCACACACCAGATACGAATATCTCAATAGGGTCAGAATTGCCAAGGCGCTCCTAGGCAGTGTTGAGACTCGCCAGCAGGCTCTAGCCATTCGTCTCCTGGCTATCACGAACCTGGCATATATCCACCCTGAGAATGTGTTCATGGAAAAGGTCATGCGTCAGGATATTGACGAAACTCGGCGATACCAGCTCGTCTATCAGTTGGCCGAAATAATTCATCCGACATCGCCTGGATCTCAACCTGTGCCTCTTTGGGTTCAATCGATTGCACTCGCTCTACTGGAAGCTATTTCCTACTTCCAGGCTCGCTATCAAGATGTGCTTTCCGCCCTTAATGCCAACGTCAACCACGGCATTCTTTTGTACGTCATTCGCAAGGCAGTCGCGGGCATGAAGGACGATGAGGTGGCCGACAAGTACAACCAGTCCACCGAGGTCAACGAGTGGCGCAAAGACCTCTTCTCATTGACACAGCACTTGGCTATGTCCACTAGAGTTGGCGCAGAGATGGTCAGCGCTGGCCTGATGGATGTCTTGGTCGAGATTATGAAGACGCGATCCAATGTGGCTCAGCGTAATCATGCGACTATTTTGAGTTTCATAGATGGACTCATCTGGTCCTACCAGAACGCTTTCCACGCCTTCTTCAACGGTGATGGCTTGGACGCCATCTCGGAACTTCTAGTCACGTCTGTCAAAGAAGGCACCCAACTTGCTGACGCTGGCCGTGGTACGCAATCTGAGTACCACTCTTCCGTCGTCGACTACGATATTCCGTTCCACCACCAGCAAACGCTTAAGTGGCTGTTGAAGTTTATGCACCACATGATGACCAACTCTTACAGTCTCGGAGGCAATACGGACCGCCTCCTGCGGAACCTCGTGGACAAGTCTGATCTGTTGGCCAGTCTGAGGGAGATCATGCAGCACACTAAGCGATTCGGCTCTGTTCTGTGGACAAACTCTGTTACTGTTCTCAGCGACTTTATCAATAACGACCCTACAAGCTTCGCAGCCATCGCGGAGTCTCGCATGATCGTAAGTTTCCTCGAATCCGTCACCGGCAGCCCTGTACCCGAGCAGACAGTGGCCCCTCGCGGCAGCGAAGACGCTGCTGGTGAAGCGGATGACGCGCCTCAAGAAAACAACGATCAGGTTACCCTTGAGCCTGACGATAAGCCTCATCCTCCACCAGAGGAGGAGCTGGCTGCTGGCAGGGACCGTCCGCTCGCAAGAGGGATCTTGACGAGCCCAGACGCCATGCTCGTTGTGCCGCAAGTCCTCAATTCCATTTCCCTCAACAACGTTGGCCTAAGAATGGTCGTGTCATCGCGCGCGTTCGAGTCTTACTTCGAGATGTTTGAAAGCCCGAAACACGTTAATTGTCTTGAGGGCGAGCAACACCTCGCCAGTAGTGTGGGTGAAAGTTTTGATGAGCTGTGCCGGCATCATCCAGCTCTGAGAAGTCCCATCTCGGATGCTGTTATTGACATGGTGGCAAGAGTCAGATTCCTCGGCAAAGACGAAGCAGAGACGTCTGGCTGGGGAGCAAAGCTGGTCTTTGACGATGCAAATGGTAACGTCTTGACTGCTGACCATGGTCTTCTTGGTCATCTCTCAGCTCCGCCTGGCGATAGCAAAGGCAAGGAGAAAGCCTCCACCGATGACGCGGATGTTGACATGCTGGACGGAGCAGTGACTGCAAAGGAAGAAGACAGCAGTTCAGCGTCCAGCAAGGAAGCCTCGAAGCCAGCTGCGACGGCGTTTGACAGTATCACACCTTATGTCCATGCACTTGGCCTCTTCCTCACCACCTACCTTTCCAACAACACGATGAAGACCCATTTCGTCCAGCGCGGAGGCATCGAGCTGCTGCTCGACATTGCTGAATTGCCCAGTCTCCCTTACGACTTCAACGAGTCCAACGCCTCGCGTAAGCTCTTCTCAGTGATCTCTCAGCTTGTTGACCATTCTCCCGTCCTGGGGTTGCCAGCGCTTCTCAAGCGGGCACAGGCGGCACTTGACTCGCTCGAGTCGTTTGCGACTGACAACGACGGCCGACCGTACTTTGCCCCTTTCGTTTTGTCCGAAAAACCGATAACGCTGGAGGACGCAAACTCATGGGACACGACGACGCGAAACAAGATCTTGACAGGAACCAAGGTTGTCAGAGCCCTGCTCAATGCCCAGTCTTTCCTGAAGACACTATACGAGTGTTTCCCGTCTTCACCGCGCTCCTCATCTTCGGTGTCGCTCTATCCCATCAACTTCTATGATTACTACCTGCAGTTGATCAAGTCCATCGGGCCTCTTCTACGGGCAGGTCTCACAGAAGAAGGCGCAGTACACAACGTACTCCCCCAGCACTGGTGGGCCAAGAAAGTCGGTGCAATCGACGAAGCCTTGGCAATCATCGGTCGACCCGCGGTACCGGCGTCTCCGTCCGGCGACGATGAGGAGACGTTCTTGCCTGATGACCTACTGGGGAACTTCAGGGCAGAGGCGCTGCCGAACAACAAGGGCGCTGCGGCTCCGCAGCCTAAGCGGCCTACCAAGCAAGAACAAGCCACGGCCCGCTTCAAAAACTTCGAAACTCTGCGAGTCGTTCTTCATTCTATGGTCCCGTCGTCGTTCCCGTTCTTCCAGCAACTCGGCAAGGCAATACTGCCTCGTCGCGGCGGGGACACATTTTCGCGACAGCATCATATCGATCTCGCCAAGGGGCTGTCAGCGACCATAATCGATCAGTTGAAGCCCTCGATGGCGGTTGAGGTTGCAACGCCCAAAGACTACCATTACTGGATCATCATGCTTCACACACTCAGCGAGATGCTGATTGACGCGACTCCTAGATCGAGTGACCGAGCTGGTTCTCAGATCATCATGCCTGTGTATCTGGCATTTGTTGAGCAGGGCGGTCTAGAGATTCTGACGACCATGGCTCGACGTTTCGCTGATAGAGCAGCCGATCAAAGCAGCGGAACAGAGCCCAGTGCAGCCACCAAGATATGTTCTTTCGGCCTCAAGAGAGCGCTCGATTTGTTTGCCACTGTTGTTGATGGGAAGACCATGGCAGACTCCGCTACTCAGTTCGGGCTCATCCCCCGGTCTGCAGGACCCCGGCCAGAGGCACCACTGTCCAACCAAATGGTGCTTGACGCTCGCATGGCCATCTTCCCAGTCGTGCGTGAGATATGGGATTCCGCATTGATGGAGAAGACGCAGCCAGAAACTCTAAGCAGGGTTATCGATATCCTTAAAATTGTGGCTGTCGGGAGCGATGAGTCTGGTCAATCGAGTACTCAGGCGTCTGACGTTTTGAAGAGGGTTCCCAGCGCTTTCAACTGGCGCACACACCAGACCTCGCTCTCCGCCCTCTCTAGAGACTACGATGACGACCTGGCGCGTGAGGCCGTTTATCGAGCCAACGGCAATCAAAACTCCGCCACCGAGTACTGCCGGGCCTACGCAGCCGGCACGGCTGGGTCGCGAAACCCTGTACCTGCGCAGGATGCTTACTTCGCCCCTCCGCCCGAACCGTCACGTCAATCCAGCCAGCAGGGCGCTCCTCCCAGCTCTGAACCTATGGCTCTTGATGCACCACCCGAGCTAGACAACCTCCTTGGTGACGCTGTTCTCGACGAGCTCGAAGGTCCGTCTTCTGAGGAATCTGACGACGACGACGACGACGAAGACGAAGAGAATGATGAAGATGACGATCACGCTGGCGAGGGTTCTCAGAAAGCTGGAGGATCTGATTTGCCCCCTAAAGCCAACGAGTCAGCACAGCCGACAATAGATCCTCGTGCAACCGCCAAGAAGACGCTCGACGACCATCGGGAACAGTTCCGCAAAGAACTCATCTCCAGGTCACTGGACATAGTTCGGGCGCACCCTCATTCAGCTATAGAGGTGTCTGAGTTGATCAGTGCCATGGTCTTCCCTCAGGACATCCGCGAGGATGTTGGCGAGACCTTGACTAGCGCGATTACGTCTCTTTCCTTCGACTCCGATGAGGTTGAATCCGACGCCAATGGCTCCACAATCGCCGCGTACGCTCACCTCTTTGCGCTTCTTCTCCGAGACAACGCTTTCCTTACGTGTAACATTGATACATTGAGAGCCAACGTATCGACCTATGTCGGGTTTTTGAAGCTTTCGCCAACACGTGCCAAAGACGACCTGCCCCCTTGGATCCCCTATATTCTCCTCATTGTTGAAATCTTGCTGGCCCATGACGAGAAGCCAATCGAGGCCACATGGAAAGCCCCTACTTCGGAGAATGAAGTTATCAAACCAGCCGTTATCGAGAAGCCGGAGGCTATCCTGTCTGACGCTGAGCAGAGTGACCTGCTAGAACGCATCCTTGACATCTTGCCAAGGCTGGGCCAAGAGGACACTCTTGCAATCTCTGTCCTTCGTGTCCTTGTTGTTCTCACTCGCAAGAGGTCTTTGGCACGCACAGTCGGCGAGAAAAAGAACCTCCAGAGACTATTTGTCATGGCAAAGCAGCTTGCCGGCGCCGGCGTGAACCGTCTCAAGGACACCAAGACGGCTGGGTGCATCATGATCATCCTAAGGCACGTCGTTGAGGACGAGGAAACCACAAAACAGATTATGCGAGCTGAAGTTCGGAGCCTGTTCGATAACCCTCAACGCAACCAACGCAACCTCGATGTGACGACCTATCTTCGAAATCTCTCTGCCGTCGCCCTCCGCGCCCCTGACCTTTTCGTTGAGATCACGAACGACATGACAAGATTGACCCGCTGGTCCCCGGTCAGCGAGGGCACCGCACGGGCCCACTACATTGCTCTCAAGGAGACGGAGCCCGAAGCTTCTGTGGCAACGACAACACAGGATCAGAGCGTTGAGCCTACGGTGCAGGCAACGGAGGATTTGTCGCTTCACGACGTCAAACAATCTACTGAAGCAGGCGACAAGGAGATGACCGATGCTCCGAAGCCAACGGTAGCGCGCCCAATCATTGAGAACCCTGACGGAGTCGTCCACTTCTTACTCTGCGAGCTACTGAATTACCGAGAGGTGGAGGACAAGGAGCCAATCCAGCCCAAGGATTCGAAAGCGGCATCGACGACACTGGCCGCCACGAGCTCTGATCCTGCAGCCAAGGAGAACACTGCAGATACCGGAGCAAGCTCTGATGCTAAGGAGACCAAGGACAGCAAAGACAAGAAGTCCAAGCCTTCATTCAAGGCCGATGAGCATCCTATCTTCATATACCGTTGCTTCCTGCTTAATTGTCTCGCGGAGCTTCTGCAAAGCTACAACAGAGCCAAGGTTGAGTTTATCGACTTCAAACGGAGTGCACCGCTGCAGACAAATACTCCGGTCAAGCCGCGCTCGAGCGTCTTGAACTACCTGATTCATGATCTGCTTTGCCAGGGCGGCCTCGAGAATCCTGACACTGTTGTTGCCAAGAAGAAAATGGCGACCTCGAACCAGGCTCAGCAAGTCCTGGTGGCTCTGATGACCAAAACTGGCGAAAAGGCCATCGATAAGCACCGCGAGCGCTTTGAGTACGACGATGATCCGGATCTTCTCTTCGTCAGGAAGTTTGCGTTGGACACTGTTCTTAAAGCGTACGAGCGTGCTTCCACGCCTGAGGAGCCCCTCGAGACCCGATACACCAAAATGCAATGCCTTGCTGAATTAATGAATCAAGTCATTGGCGAGAAGGAGCGCGATCCCCCGGGCGCCACGAGAGGCATGGGATCTCCGCAGGCTCGCTCGCAGGCTCAGCTCCGCCGCATGATGTACGAAAAGGGGTACTTGGACAGGCTCACTTGGTCTATTGCCGACCTTGATCTGAATCACGTGGGGGTCAAACGTGCCATTAAGCATGTGCTCCGGGTCCTACGGGTTCTCACCGATACCGCCAAAGAAGTCAGTCGCTCCAACGTCATCCTTCCATGACGCTCCCTGACGTTGCGGACGATGAGATCGCGTCTTCATCGTCAATGTCTGACATAGACGACGACAGGGAAGAGACTCCCGACCTCTATCGGAACTCGGCATTGGGCATGCTCGAGCCCCGTGGCAGCGATGACGAGTCTGAGGATGAAGAAGGTATGGAATCTTCTGCCAAGTCAACTGGAAACCACGGAGCTAACTCATTCGCAGATGACGACGATGATGAAGAGATGTATGACGACGAGTACGGCGACGAGCTCGAGTATGGGGAGGAAGAGATCTCTGATGATGGAGACAACGGCATCAGCGACGACGACGACGAAGAGCTCGGTGAAATGGGTGAGATCGAGGGTCTCCATGGGGACCCTGGAGTCGTCGAGGTTGTAATGGATGACGACGATGATATGGAGGACGATGACGATGAGATGAGTGACGACATGGACTCCCAGGACATGGAGGAAATGGACGATCGCGTCGATATCGCTGAAGAGATTCTCGATGAGGACGGCAATCCTATCGACGACGACGGTGCCTCTGATTGGGAGAGTGAGTCAGACGACGAGGAAGAGGATGACGATGATGAACTCGACTACGGAGCCGAGGTCCAAGACCTCGACGAAGCCCATATGCACGGCCTGGGACCCGAAGAGATCCTTGACAACCTAACACGTGCTGTTGTCATGGCCCCTGATGGAGAGTTCGACCCCGAAGACATGGAGGGACTTGGCGAACACTACATTGAGGACGATCGTGGCGATGAAGACGGTTTGTCATGATCCGACCCGTTCGTGTGGGATATGCTAACCTGGCTCCAGATGACGATGACGAAGACATGGAAGAAGACGAGTACATTTATGATGAGGACTACCCTCGTAGGTCATTTCCGCCATGAAGTTGTATTTGAACTAACACAAGCCAGATGATGAAGCCCCCCCAGCCAACGTCCCGAGCCAACTGGGCTGGGACACTCTTGTGGTGGAGCCGTTCCCGCATGCACACCATGGACATCGACATCGTCATGCCGGACACCGCAGTCCATTCCCGCCTGCCATCCTGGCTGGTGGTCCGCGTGACCCGCTCGGAGGCATGTCTCCCGCCACGCTACTGCCTCATATCGATGTCCTCCTCCACGACGTTGAGGCGCTCATGTCGACTTACAATGCTAACGCGAATCCAGATTTCCGCAGCTACTTCTCACGTGGTCCTCGAGCAAACGCGGCCCCCAGCAACGCCGACGACGGCATCAACCCCTTGCTGCGTCGAACCAACCAAACCGCGGAGCCTTCACCACGCCCACCTGGAGTGCCTGGTCTGGTCGGCCTGCGTTTCCCTCCGGACGCCTTTGGAATCGGCGCTGGCCGTCATGGCGGCCTCATGGACAGCCCCATGGCAATTTTGAACGATATCGTTGCTTCTTTACCTGTCATGCGACACGGACAACCGTCTGTCCAGCTCTCAATCACACAGAACGGGCGTGGGGAACTTCGAGAATACCACGTTGTCCCCCGTGAGTCAAGAGGCGATGCTCGACGAGATGGAACCTACCATGAACCCCAGCAGGCCGTTGCTTTCACTCCGGATTCCACCTTCGAGAGATATCAGGAAGAGGCCCGAATGGTGTTTGGAGGATCTCTTTACATCGACAAAGCTCAGCGACTACTCAAACTCATCTTGTCAAAGCTGATTCCTCCTGCGTTCGAGCATGAGAAGAAAGCCAAGGCCGAGGAAGAAGAGAGGCGACGTGTCCGTGAAGAAGAAAGAAAAAAGCGGGAGGAAGAAGAACGGCGAGTAAGAGAGGCTAAGGAAGCCAAGGAGGCTGAGGAGAAGGCTGAGCGTGAGCGGAAAGAAGCCGAGGAGCGCGACGCACAACAGCGGCTGACGGCTGAAGCGCTGGGTTCCACGGATTCCAACGCTCCCACAGCTGGCGCGGACCCTCAAGCAATGGAAGGCGTTGAATCGCATGGCGCTACTGAGTCGGCAACGGTGCCTCCAGCCAATGTCCCTCGGGTCGTCACAACGATCAGAGGCGAAGAGGTCGATATCACGGAGCTTGGCATCGACCCTGAGTATCTGGCAGCACTCCCCGAAGAATTCAGAGAGGAGGTCATCGCGCAGACCGTGAGCTCTAGGCGCTCCCAGGCACGCGAGGATGCGGCAGCGGGCGAACAGACCGAGGTCTTCCAAGAGTTCCTGGATGCATTGCCGGAAGAGATGCGCAGCGAGATCGTGCAGCAGGAACGCCAAGAGGTGCGCCGGCGCGAACGAGAAGAGCAACGCCGCCAAGCTGCTGGTGGTGCCGCCGAGCAAGAGATGGATGCTGCAAGCATCTTGTTGACCTTCCCGCCTGAGCTGCGCCACGAAGTCTTGTTGGACCAGGGCGAAGACATCATGGACCAATTGCCGGCTGACATGGCTGCCCAAGTCCGCCTGAGTCAACGAGCAGGGAACGCCAGAAGCCCTCCTGGTATCGCGCGGAGGCCGGCGCAGCAGCTGACAGAGCCTGGTCAGGAAGCCGAGACAAAGGTCCAACGCAAGACGGTAGTGCAGATGCTCGACAAGCCTGGAATCGCCACCCTGCTCCGTCTCATGTTCATTTCTCAATACGGATCTATCCGCAACTATCTTTTCAGCGTTCTCGCCGATGTTTGCGAGAACAGGCAGAACAGGCTCGAAGTCATCAGTACTGTTCTCCTTATCCTTCAAGAAGGCAGTACAGACATGGACGCTGTGGAGAGGAGCTTCAGCCAGCTTTCTCTCAAGGCAAAGAAGCCGAAGGATAAGGATGCGGACCCCAAGACTCCTCAGGGGCTCAAGAGAACGTTGACATCCCTGACGACTTCTGGCCACGCCCAGACAAACTCTGAGATATCGCCTCTACTGGTCGTTCATCAGTGCCTTGATTTGCTGCAGGACCTCTCAACGAAGAACCCACACATTCCCATGCTCTTCCTTACCGAACACGAAAGCGTTGGGTCCTCACTGAAGCGCATGCTTAGCAGGAAGGGGAAAGCTAAAGATTACAAGGCTCACAAGTACGCCATCAATGCTCTTCTCAGCCTGCTTGACCGCGAGCTCGTTATGGAAAGCTCGGTAGTCATGGCGTACCTGGCAGACTTGCTCAACAAAATCACGGTGCCGCTCGCTACTATCGAGCGCAGACGGCGAGAGGCTGCCGAAAAGGCGGCGCTTGCGAACAAAAAGGTTGCTGAGGCAGCGTTCGCGGCTCAGATGGCTGCCGAGGCAGCCGAGGCAGCCGCGACGGCCTCGACTGCTGAAGGTGCTTCGACCCAAACTGATGCCAATGATCAGACCACCGGTGCAGTCGAAACCACAGCGAGTGCGACGCCAGCCGTTGAGTCGTCCACCGCCGTGGAGTCTGGTGACGCCCTGCAATCGGAGGAAAACAAAAAGCCCGAGCCAGAGACCTCCAAATCGGCGACGGCTGATGATCCCAATCAGAAGAAGGGCAAGCAGATGCAGGTTCCCGTCATTCCGCCTCATTACCTTACTCTGGTTGTCAAGATCTTTGTTGCTCGCGAGTGCAGCTCCAAAACCTTCCAGAACACCATCTCTGCCATCAAGAACCTTTCGTCGATTCCGGGGACCAAGGTAATCTTCGGTCAAGAATTGGTTCGCCAGGCCAGAGCCCTAAGCGAACGCATCGTGCTCGACCTAGATGAGCTATTGCCGCACATCAAGAAGGCTACGACGGGCACCGAGATTCAAGGAGTTGCGTTGTCCAAGTTTTCGCCGGGCGCATCAGAGCAGAATAAGCTCCTTCGTGTCCTGACTGCTCTGGACCATCTTTTCACTGAACCCAAGAAGAAGTTTTCCGCCGAGATTGAGTATACGCTCCATGATA